CCAGTCCTGGTGACTGATGGTGGAGGATGTGGCCGTTGGTCTTGCCAGCCTCTGCCCCCAGCCCTTGGTCCTGTCGGCCAGTTACTTGTAAGGAGGAGGGGGTTGTGGGGTCACAAACTAGTTCTGTTCCTGGGTTTTGCTTCTCTGTGGCTGGGCGCGGTCTTCGTTATCCTTTGTGTTTAAGAAACGTTCTCCTTTGTCACTAGGGATCACCCCATCCTAGAAGTCTCCTTCCTCAGTGCTGATGTGGTGTCCCCGGTTTTCCAGTGAAAACTCTCTTTCCTCTTCCTGTCGCTTTCAGCCTCTGGTCTGTCCATTTAAATTAGTTACTTGTGCCCATGGTTGTCATTGTGTGGAGACTGCTTGGTGTCTGTGTGCCTGGGTCGCATCTGGCCTGTTTCTGCCTCTTGTTTCTTCACTTTCCCCTTGTCGCTCTCCCTAAGGGCCATGCGTAGAGCCCTGTTCCGTCTGCGGTTGTTTGCAGGGCTGCCTGCATCTTAGGCTGTCCAGGTCTCCTGGGCACAGTGACCTGGCTTCCGGCCTGTGCTTCTCTGTCCTTGGTGGCCATCAGTCGCCCTTCTTTGGGTTTCACTATTTTAGTTTTCAACAGTTAGTAGTCAGAAATCAAGGTAGAAGTCTTTGGGCTTTACTTGTGTATTTTCCTCTTTTTTTTTTTTTCCCCTTGAGACAGGGTTTCCCTGTGTAGTCCAGGCTGGCCTTGAACACTCCGTGTAGCCCAGGATGGCCTGAAACTCAGTGATCCTCCTGCTTCAGCCTCCCAAGTGCTGAGATGACAGGTGTGTGCCACTTTGCCTGGCCTTGGCTTTTTTTTAATAGCTCAAAATACTTAAAACATTTTGGTTTCATGACCCATTTATACCTTTTGCTTTAAATCCATTTATAGTCTTAATAAAGAGTTATTGTAACAGCAAAGAAATTTTTAAGAAAATTATAATCTATCAGTATGTACCATGCTAGAAATTAAAAATAACATTTAAAGAAAGCAGTTAACACTCTTCATATGAATAATGATTTTTTAAATGAAAGTAACCATATTCCCCAAAGCAACATCAGAAGGTGGTGAAAGGATTTGCAAGTTCCTTCAGTCTGTTTGTCAGTCGGGGCTGCGTTCCCCCACTTCTTGCTGACGTCTGAAAGAGCCGTTTACAGTAACCTGATGGCGAGCGGGTGACAGGAGGACCTCTCCTTGGTCCTGTGCCCAAAGTTGACATTTCTCAAAGATTCATTGGAATTCGGAATTTGAAACTGTCATCAATTATCTTTTTAAAAGAATTCTCAAAAATGGAGGGATCCAGGTATGTTTCTTGTTTGGTCTTCTGTGCCGCAAGAGAAAGAGTGAAAAAAGCCTTTACTGGAAAAGAAGAGAAAAAAGCCTTTACTGAGGGCACGGGAGGGCAGCCGAGGAGAGGCAGGAGAGGCAGGCATCCTCCAGAAGCTGGCAGGGGAATTTGATGGGGCGGAGCTAAAAGGGCAGGAGGGATGGCACTGACAGCTGATTGGAGGAGCCTTTGCCTGTGCCAGCGGGTGGGGGTGGGGGTAGGGGTGGGGGTAGAGTGAGGTGGGGGGAGTGGGAGGTTTAACTTGTGGGTTCCGGAGAAGAACACAGGGGGTGCTGTCCAGTGCCAAAGGGAGCTGCTCTCTGGGAGAACCTTCAGTTCTCTTGACATCGAGTTAACCATTTTTATGTGAGATTGTCAAGCTGATGTCACCCTTGGCCACTGCTCCTAGCAGCTACCCATTGCCTTCCACTCTCAGTGCCCGGCCATTCCCACTCTGCTTCCTGTCCTTGTCCCTGTGGATTTGCTGGTCCTGGGCAGTTCATGTCAGGCAGTGATACCTGACACCCACGACAAACTGGGAAAGGCTTTCTGTGGTTCTCAGTTCTGGAGAGCAGGACGCTGTCGCCCAGCATTATGGCAGAGGGTGTGGCAGGCAGAGCTGCCTGCACAGTGGTGCCCAGGATGCAGAGCAGCAGACCCATGTGTGGCCCCTAAGGTCACACTGTCAGGGCCCACCGACACGGGTCTCTGAACCCAGTTGACAGGTCAGGGTGAGGGTCACTTGGACCTGGAATTGTGTAATTCGTGGCTTATAGACGTCTGGCTTCCTTCAGGAGCGCAGTGTTTCCCAGCATTGTCCGGGGTGTGGCAGGGGCTGGGCTGAGTAATATTCCACGGGCGGTCTCCATGTTCCGTGCGCCCATTTGCTAGTTTGTGGACACCCGTGGTGTTCCTGCTTGTGAGTGACCCTTGTGAGTAGTGACGCCATGTGGACTTGGGTTTTCATTCTCCCTGGGGGTGTGTTGAGGGGCAAACTGCTGGGTCGCACAGTTCTTCTGTGTAACTTTCCAGGTCTGCTGGGCTTTCCACAGCAAGTGGCACCTTTAGGTGTTCCCACTCCTACGCCTGAGGCTTCCAATTTTCTCTGTCCTTGCTAACCCATTATTTCTGTTAGCTTCTGAGTTGCCCCTGGAGGGGAAGAGATGGCGTCCCTGGGTAGCATCCATCCGATCTGCGTTTCCCTCCTGATGCAGGGCATGGGACTGCCATGTGCTTCTGGGCATTTATGTCTTCTTAGGAGAAGTATTTAGTCTGACTCCCTGCACATTTTAAAATGAGTTTTTTGTTGTTGTTGAGGTGTTCTTTTTATATCCTAAATACTAGGTCAGTAAACTTTTTATGTCCAGCTTTATTATTATTATTTTTTTTTTTTTTGTCTTTTTGAGGCAGGGTCTCACTATACAGTTCAGGCTGGTTTTAAACTCACAGCAATCCTCCTGCCTCAGCCTCCCAGGTGCTGGGATTTCTGGTGTGTACCCTGTGCCTGGCTTTGTGTTCTCCTTTATTAAAGGCTGCCTCTTTCTTCCTGGGGCTTTGTTAGGTCGAGTGTTGCGCTTTCAGAGGATTCCTTCACTGAGAGCGCAGATCCCTGATCTCACAGACCCCTGGGATGTGGTTCGAAGTATTGCTGGGTTGCTGTCCCCTCCGACTTCTGCAGAGGAGCCTTTCCGTGTTAGGAAGCTGTCTAGCTTTGATGGCACAAACAGACTTTCCAGAGTTTTAACTTTTGCCTGAGATTCATATGTTACCAGGAACAGGTTCTCTGGTGTCCCTGGAGCCCTGCGCTCAGTTCTGCTTCTGGCACTGGGCTTACTGGGTTTGAGCGGGACTCGGCATGCAGGTCTGAGGTGGTGCAGCTCAGACAGAGGCCTGCAGGTGTCCCTGTGGTCCCCTTTCCGTGTGGTGCACAGGAATGAGCCTGGGGCTGTGCTCCATGTGGCTGTGTAGGGCATGGGGCTGACGGGCTGCACTCTGCTGCCCCACCAAGGCCTTGGCAACTGCACGCCCATGAGGACCGGAGGCGGGAGGTCTTTGCAGCTCCAGCCATCCACGGGACAGCACAGGGGCAGGACACTGAGCTGGCCATGTCCTGAGAGGTGTCCAGAACCCTGCCCGGCAGGCTGCTGGGGCATCACGGTTCTGCCTGCGTCCTCTTCCTCTGCTCAGTGGCCCCGCACAGTGCGATTGAAGGTTTTTCAGGCAGTTGCAGACCCTCCAGGCTTCAGCTGCCCACATGGGAGAGGGTTCCATGCTGGCTTCGGGGTCCTGGCGAGTGGAATGTCCAGAGGAGCCCCACGGGGTTGCACTGCCCTGCCCCTGCCCCTGTCGCCTCTGCCTCTGCCACTGCCACTGCCCCTGCCTGTGCCAGCAGCTTGGCTGGGGCCATTTGTCTGACTCTGCAGAGAGACTGCTTTTTCATGGGCCCATTCCTCTGGCACAGGCCTGGCTGGGGGCACAGGCTTTGGCTGGGGGCCCTGTCCCCCACCCTCAGCAGCTGGCTTTTCCATCTCCTGGTGGTTGCTCTTTTTCCTTTTGCTGTGGCTTTCTGTGTGGTTTGACAGGGGTCAGATGGTAGCAAATGCTCCATTTGCCGTGTTTGACCTCCTCCTTGGTCCTTTAGTAGCGTACAGTTGTGCTGGCTTTTTAAATGGTCCTTCTATCAAAGTAGAAGGGTAGATGTTTAGATGCTCTTACTTTTCCTTCAAAAAATAGGGCTGCACCATGTTACAGTTTTGTTTTTTATTTGACTGTTTGGCTGTGATATTCTTTTGAGAAAGGGTCTCACTGTGTAGTCCAGGCAGGCCTTGAACTGCCTGTGTTGTCCAGGCTGCCTGTAGACTCATCCTCCTGCTCAGCTGCCTGGGTGCTGGACTTCAAGGCATGCGCCCCTAGGCCAGCCTCTCCATGTGATTTATGTCATGCCTACAATACTCAGCTGTAGATTCATCTTTTTTCATGTTTTCTAATTCATTGATTTTTGTATTTATCTCTATTGATTTTTCTGTATTTGTTTTTGAGTTTAAAAAACAAATTGCAGATTTCGGTTTTTTGTTTGTTTTGTCTCCAATACTTGGGGTTGAACACAGGGCCACATCCTGCACTGCCTCCCCCCATCTTCTTCATTTACTGTTTTGAGATGAAATCTCAAAAGCCCCCCTGCCTCAACCTCTCAGAGGTCTCGGGTCCACCCCGGCCTGCTGTGTGATGAGAAGCCTTCAGGCCTGCTCCCCTCTGCTGGCTGTCAGAGTAGCCCACGCACATTTTTCCCACGCTGTTGGTTTATAGCGCACTTTGTCGTAATGCATGAGCAGTCCCAGGAGAAGATACAGGGTTTCTAGCTGTTGGGGTGTGCAGTGGGCGACGTGCTGGGACGTCAGTCCATGTGGTCCGTTGTGCTCTGCTGGGGTCTTTGCATCTGCTGATGGGTCCCCATGGTGTCGGGGAGCATGTCACACACACGTACCAGGTCGCGCCTTGGTGGCTGTGCTGTGAGGGAGAAACTTTGGCTGGTGTGCAGGGATGGGGATCCCCAGCTCTAGGTGTCTCCAGGCCAGAGCTCAGCGGGGCCTAGGTGCAGCTGGAGGTGTGGGGAGAGCTCGGAGAGCAGCCATCTCCTTAATGTGTTTCTCTTCTTCTTAGGTGAATCTTAAAATGAGAGAGATAACAGAGAAGGAAATTAAGTTAAAGCAGCAGTTGCTGGAGAGCCCGGCTCATCACAAGGTAAAGGACAGATTTGATTTCCCGGGAATGAACTTGGCCAGTGTGGTGCTAGTGCCCGAGGCTGTACCTGTGACTTGTTTGTGGCTCCCTTCCTCTTGCCCCACAGAGCTGGCCCAGGGCTGTGGTGGCCTGCAGTGGCCTGCGGTCTGCCATTCTCCTCCTTGAAAAAGGGTCTGGCCACTGAATTGTGGGAAGGCAAGGGTATGCTGGGAGGGCTTGGGCAGCTCAAGAGTGGGGGGCCCTGGCCTGCCTGGAAGCAGGCCTCCAAAGATTGTGTCCGAGTGTCGGCCTGGTACCTGCAGCACCCTGGTGTGTCCCTGCAGAGGCTTTGAGGTGCCACATGGCTGTGGCACCTGAGAATCCCTGTCGTAGAAACTCGGTAGGAAATGTGTGTGTTGTAGGTATGCTGCACGTTTGGGCATTGGTCTCTCTCCCTCCTGGCATTTTCCCTTTGGCCAAGCACTTGTGTGCAGGACACAGCCAGGCTCTACAGTCTCACTGGCTCTGAGGAACAGCCCCACCCCGGTTCTTCTCCCTCCGAGCGCCATACCAGTGGGCTCCTGGCAGCCTGGCACCAGTCAGACCGCAGCCCAGACACCCCAGATGTCGCCCTGACCCAGGTGACACACGCATGGTCGAGGGGACAGCCTCGCCCTCCTTTGTGGGTGGGCTGCTTGCCTGAGCCCCCGTCCTATCTGAGTCTGAGGTGTTCTTTGCTACTGTGAAGGATGGCTGAGGAGGGGAGGTGTCTCCTTCCCCTCGACTCTCCTGCTGCTGTGGCGTGGGGCAGTCACAGATACCCAGAAGCCTTTGCTTATGGGATGCTGTCCCACCGCTGGCGTGTGAGTGTGTATCACAATGTCCTGCGGACCTGCTGCTGACCCTCCTCTTCACCTTCCTTCCTGCTTCCTGAGCAGTCTCCCTCCAAGTGGTATTGGAAGTTAGTGCCCGTAAGTGACCCTGCCACCAGCTGCTGTCTGCAGAGTCATCCTGTTGCCATCATGTGCTGCCATTGAAATGCTTGCACCCAGAACTGTTTCTCTTTTGTTGTTTGTTCAAGCGTCCACTTGGGACTGGTGTTACAGCTTCTCAGTAGAGTAGGAGTGAGCGCTGGCTGGGCTGTGGCACCTTGCAGGGTTGCACTGTGGTGCAGGGGCTTCTGCTCCGTCTGCCCCGCTTCTAACCTGGGGTTGTCTGTTCATAGTGTTCATGTGACCAGCACAGAGAGGCTGACAGGACACAGTCTCTCTGTGACTCTCAGAGATACTAGAAAGATTGACGGCAACAGGCAGTAGCCTGAGCTGCCCCTGATGTCTGGTCTTTCCTGACGTCACTCCCCCTCAGTGTTTACCTGCCATCCCTGGCATCTCCAGGTGGTATCCATTTGGGAAGATGGCTCCTGGCCAAGGGCATAGGTGGTCTGTGGAGAGGGATCTTGCTCCTGTCCCTGGGCCTGTGACCTCCCTCCTGTGCCCTCCTTCCCTGGCATGCGCTGGCTCCCAGGCAAGGGCTCAGTGTGGTCAGCAGGCCAGCGCAGGCTCAGGGCTCTGGCTTAGCTTGAAGACAGTGATTTGATTAGACAGCCTGGCTGTGCCCCATCTGTGGTCCATTCCGGACAGAGCCAGTTTGTCACCCTGTGCTTGGTGCCTAGTGGTGCCTGTGCACGTGAACTCATAGATACGAGTCCTTGTGGAGATGGGTCTCTGTGTCCCCCTAATGCCATGTGTGTTTGGTGGCTTCCTGATGTGGCTCAAATCACCCTCTGGCCCCTTCTCGGGATCCCACGGCATGGACTGCACGGGCTCCTCCGGCCAGGCCTGTGTTCTGGCCACTGTGCTTCTCTGCATGTGTTGGCAGACAGGCTGCCTCAGGAGAGCCACAGACCTCCGGTCTCCCGAGTTCCAAAGGTAACTGGGACAGTGGCTCACAGATTCAGCTGTCCTCCAGGGAGGTTGATTGAATGAAGACAAAAATGTGACAGCATCAGCATCCCTTCAGTTGTCCCCTTATCAGTGTGGCACTGTGACACACTCCTGTAATCCCAGCATTAGGGAGGCTGAAGTGGGAAGATCAATGTGAATTTAAGGCCAGCTTGGGCTGCATAGCAAGACTTTGTCTGAGAAAATAAAAAGTGAGCAAATGTTCCTTTATCAGGAACTGCGAGTGCCCTGCCACAGTTTTCAGTAAGTAGCTGGTGAAGATGAACCCGGTAACAGTGACAGGTGGAGGTTTTGTCATCGCACCCCACAGCCAGCGTTGAGAGTGATAGCAGGAGGCAGTTTTGCGCTCCGTGTGCTCCCAACCCCCCTCACCGCCCATCTTTAATCCGGAACCCATTTGCTTCATGCATGCCTCTGCTCGCCCCATGTCTGCTGCCTGTGGAAGCCTGGCCTGGCGCATGCCACTGTGCACTGCATGCTGGAACCCGCGGAGCTTGCACGTGTGGTACAGTATGAGGAGGGTCATTGTGGGAGCACGTGCCCTGGGTGCTGAGAAACAAGTTAAAGCGAGCCTTTGCCAAGGAGTCCACACAGAACAAGCCTTGTTGCAGAATTGTGCAGACAGCATTAAAAGTGTCTGATGCTGAATGTGACTGTTTTATCCTTGGTCTCCCTGGACATCAGCTGGAGATTCCGGCCTGCAGGGAGACAGCCTTGGAATCTGTTCACCTGTGGGCCAGGGACTTGGGGCTCTGAGCTTGTGACGGCCAGGCTCTGCCTATAGCTGTCGTGCGTCTGCCTCTGCAGGAGCTGTGGCTGGCAAGGAGAGCCAGGCCTGAGAGCTGTGCTGGTGAGCCAATGTGAAACAGGGTGGGTACAGGCTCAGGGCTGCCGGAGGGGCCTGGCTACTACCTCCTCTACCCCAGAGCAGAACTGAGGCCCAAGGCTTCCTCTCCAAGTGGAGACATGGTTTCTGGTCCTGAGCCTTGCACAGGTGCTTCTTGGACGGGTTGATGTGTGTTTCATGAGAAGGGGGCCTCACTTGCTCTGAGAGTTCTCAAACTCTGCACCAAAGCTGTCGTGTGTTTTCCTTCACGGCCACAGCCAGCTGATGGCACTCCGAAGCTCACTGTTTAACTTGTTTCTCGCCAGTTCGTAGCGTGTCAGCTATGGTAGTGTAGACCTGTGTTCTGCCTCCTCCCCACGTGTCTACCTCCAGTGTCAGCTGAGCATTGGACTGGCCCTGGTGGCGCTTGCAGAGGATGGCTGCCAATTGTTGTAGCTGCGCAGCCCAAGTCTCCAGTCTTGACGAGGGTCCTGGGCAGGGGTGCCATCCCAGCAATCTGAGTGTGCCAGGCGGGCACAGGTTTTCTCCAAGAGTCTCAAGACACTGCCCATGCTGTGCTCCTGTAGCGTGGCTATAGTCCAGGCCAGGTGAGCACACATGCAGAGACCCTTTCCCTTTATCAACTGCAGGTCCGCTATCGGCGAGAGCACCTTTCCTCCAGGCAGTCACCCTACTTCCCGCTGTTGGAGGACTTGATGAGAGGCAGCAGTGATGGCGCTGCTCTCCTGGCAGTGGTGCACTACTATTGCCCCGAGCAGATGAGACTGGATGGTGAGTGGAGGTGCTATCTGCACGCCTAGGAGGTGTGTGGGGTGGTGTGTGGGGGGTTGTGCACCTGTGCCGTGGCGGGCGAGTCAGGGTAACGTGGGCGAGCGCCTGCAGCTCACCTGTATCTCAGAAAGGTAGAAAGGGCTCAGGACGCCTCTAGGGGATGAGAATCCCGCTGCTTCAGTGCTCTGCAGAGCACTCCCAGGAATGTGCGCTCGGCCTTGGTGTGGTCTGCAGGGGCCATGGCCTGGGAGGACGTGGCGGACTGAGCGCTGCTCCAGGGCAGGAGTGCCACATAGTGTGTCAGTTCTTACAAGGGAGTCTCAGACAAAGCGCTGCTCTCTCGCATGTTGTCCTGGCTGGCCATGGACACCTGCGCTACAGGCCATCCTCTCTCCACTGGAGTCTCCTGAATGGGTCTGGGGGGCTGCGGGAGTATTTCAGTACTCACAGAGCTGCACTGGAAAGACAGGGAACCTTGGGCCAGGAGAGACCTGAGAGGAGCCTGAGGAAGGAAGGAGCCATGTGTGCCCCAGGGTCCAACAGGCTATAGCCTGCAGCGCCATCAGCCTTAGGGCCGTCTGTGTCAGAAGCTGGGGCCAGGCTTCATGGAAGAAGAGCTGGGAAAGTATGGGGGCTCCTCGAGTGCCTACTCCCCAGGTCAACAGGCAATGGGTGGGGACTGAGAGGCTACCAGGGGAAAGGTCAGTGTCAGAGCGCTCTGGGGTTAGGGACACTCATGCCCCTGCAGGAGTTCTGATGGAGGCTGTAGGCCACACCCGACCTGTGGGATGCAGGACAGGAAGAGAGGGCGACAGCTAGTAGGAAGATGGCAGATGTTAGTGACTCTGGGTTTTTGTGTGGCAGTGCCTCGTCTCCTGTCTGCATTCTTCCCCTCCCCACTGTGGGTAGGATTCTCTGCAATGTGACTGCGGACTCAGGGGCCTTGTCTCGGGGGAAACTGAGCCAGGCAGGCTGTAGGCTTCGGGATGGTTAGGAAGGAGGTAAGCCCCTGGAGAGAGGCTTTGGTGTAAGCTGCTCTGTGCAGTTTGCCAGCCCATCTCAGCCCCAGGAGGTCCGTTTGCCTTGGGTGCAGAGCAGGGGAGGATTCTCCTCTGCAGAAACTTGCCTTGGGGAGACGTGGCCTGCCCTGTCACCTGCAGCAGAACCTCTGCTCTGATGCTTCCCTCTTAACTGGGTGTGGAAGGCCAGTGACCCCAGACCCAAAGGAGCACCAGGTACAGAGGCAGCACAGGAGACGCGGTGTCGATGAGGGAGTGGAGAGAGTGGACTCCAGGGAGTCTGAGGAAGGGTGTGCTGAGTCATGGAAATGTCAGAATTCCTGAAGAGCTGGGTTAGGTGGATTTGAAGAAACCCAAGAACCAGGACAAGGAGGAAGAGGTAGAAAAGCCAGAGGTGAGTGCAGGGAGGAAGAACAGGAAAAGGCAAGGCATCACCTGGGAAGTGGAAGATGCCAGTGTCACTTCCTGAGAACCCACAGTGGTCAGTGTGACTGCTGAAATGGGAAGAGGAGGCCCCAGCAACCTTGGGGAAGTGGGAGCAGGACGACATGGGACAGTTGGATGGCACCCCAATGCCCAGGGAGGCTTTTAGCAGGGCACACTTCGTGCAGGGGTAGGAGAGGGGCTCAAGTCTCCAGTGTTCCAGAGACCGAGGCCCCTGGGCCAGGTGGGGCAGGCAGGCCCAGCTCAGTGGCCACCAGACAGACACAGCAGAGTATTGGGCAGAGACCCCAAGGGGCTAGTCTGGTCATGAGAGCTTCCTCTGGACCCGGCTGCAGAACACAGTGTGCCCACAGCAGTAGCCATCTGCCGCACAGCAGTGCCCTGGACCTTCATTGCTAGCTAGGCAGGCCCAGGGCAGGAGCAGTCACCAGGGGTGTGGGCCTCAGCAGAGGGGTTGCCCAGTGACCTCTTTTTTAATAAAAATCATGGTGGCATGACTTTATGAGTTTCAATGTAAAAATGTTAAAGTTTTTGGTAAATTCAGTTGCAGAATAAGAAAATTTTAAAAGGGAGAATATGTAAAACTAACAGCTTTTAAAGGATTAATAGAAAGTTTTCTGGAAACATCAGAAAGGAGAGCAAAAATAAAGAATATAGTGAGCAAGAAGAACTACAGATCTAGTAGATAGCAGAGATGGCTGCTGGGAATATTTGTGCCACTTCCGTTTGCACATTAGCTGCCACACAGCATTCCCTGGGCCTGGGAGAGATGAGAGCGCAGAGAGACGCAGTGGTGACCAAGGCGATGAGCTTCAGGAGTTGGAAGACACCATCACATGGGACGGCTGGGCTGGGCCTGGAAGACAGGTCAGGAAAATGGCAGCTGGTGTGTGGTGTCAGTCCCAGGGGACAACACAGGTTTTGGGACTGGGGAGGGGATGCTGTTTCTGGACGCCACCTCAAGAGGGAGCCAGGAGTGGGCTTGCTCTGTTCATGCAGGCGAGAAGTCCTATGTGAGATGTTAGGAGACAAGAATCCGAGGACCACATGGGATCATTCTGGGAGGGGCAGCTTATGGCCTGCTGAGGACGTGATATGGCCTGGTCGTGGTACACACACACACACACACACACACACACACACACACACACACACAGACACACACACACACAGACACAGACACACACACACACACACACACACACACACACACACACACGCTCGCTTCCCAGGTTGCGCCCCAGGGAGCAGGGAGAGGCTGGGTCCCCCCAGAGGGCCCTCACTAGGGCTCCTGCACACCACACCTTGCCAACTCCTCACACTAGAGGGCCAGGAAGGACTTGGGAATGAAGTCAGTGAAGGGAAGTAAGAAAAGCAGAAATAGGTTTAAGATTGTAAGGAAAAAACAAATTCTTCTATAGTGCTTGGGCCAGGAATGAGCGTTCTCAGGTGCTGAGTCACTACCTAAAAATCGTTATTTTCCAGAATATTCTGAAAGTGTGTCAATAGCTGTTGTTTCCTAAGAAATTGACAAAGTGGTGTACAATCTCCCTGGGTGAGCCCGGGGCCACTGTCATGCTTTGTCACCCTGCCCAAAGCTGTTGGGTTAAACTCTCTAGGTGATCAGGGACCCCCAGTGCCCCCTGTGGGCCTCTCCTGTCACCACACTTGAGCCCCGGCCTCTGCCCAGCACGTGCCACATGGCTATGGCTTTCAGTGCAGCTCTTAGGCTTTCCAGGTACCTCCCTGTAGCCTCGGGACTGCATCTGAGCTGCCACTGGCCATCTGGGCCTTGGTGTTTGGGAGGCTGGTGGGTGGCAGAGTGTCTCTCGGCCCTTGGCCTTCTGTTTCACTGCACTGCTTTGGCAGGTCAGGCAGCTGGATGAGAAAGATTCTGCTTCAGAATTGGTTGATTCATTGCGAGGGTGCTGCAGACCTTGCCTCCTTTGCCCCTTGTCCTCAGATTTCTTGTCTGCCTTTCTGTGCACTGTCGCCATGCTGCCTGTTATTGGTCACCTGGTCCTGCTCCATGGCCTGCATTCTGGCTCTGTTAGTGGATTATAATCTGGTTTTTAAACTATTTTTCATTGCAGCTGTCGCAGGTTAACTGCGAAGAGGAGAAACACGGGTGCTTGCTCCATGATTTACCACCAAATCTTGCTGGATGTTATCCTGGCTGGAGCTGCGTGGCTCTGGTCTGGGAGGCAGTGGAGTGGGGAACTGCACGCAGAGCCTGGGGAAGAGGCGCTGGTGCAGGGGATGGATGTCCCAAAGCCACTAGGGACAGACTGGCTGGCTAGTAACCCCTGGTGCCAGGTGGCCTTATGTGAGACCTGGTGACACCCCACTGCATGTGAGGCAGAAGCACCCTGACCTTAGACTAAAGCCCTGAGCCTGAAAGGAGCAGTCGAGGTGACTGAGTAGAAAGTCTGACTTGGAGGTGCTTCCAAGCCCCTGATGTTGAAGCTTGTCCTTAGAAGGCTCCTGCGGTGCTCTTGCCAATGCAAGCCTGATGTCCTCAAGTGTCCTGCCCAGAGCGGGTCGGTGGCTTTCCTCGACACTTGGAGTACAAGCTTCTCCCAGCACAGTCAGGGCAGAGGGGACTTGCTCAGCCCCTGGTGTGGCGAGGCTCCCCAGATGAATCGGTGTGGCCACCCTTTCTTTTAGAAGCCCAAATCAAATTAGTGATTTGCTAGCTGTCTCAGCATTAGCCACTAAAAGCAAATCCTGGAGGTGTCACTGCTTTCTCCTTGAGCACATTCCTTTTACACCGAGTGTCACTGGGGAAACTGTACTTTTGGATCTCCTGATGTTATTTCTTTGGTACGACACTCCCCGGCATGAAACGCCCTGTGGCCCATCTGTACACCCCACTGTGCGGTGTCTCCGCGTGCTGAGCCCTCCTCCTCTGTGTCTGTCAGATATATGCCTGAAGGAGGTGCCGTCCATGGCCGATAGCCTGTACAACATCCGGCTGCTGAGAGAGTTCGCCAACGAGCACCTGAACAAGTGCTTCTACCTCGCGCTGGAGGACATGCTATACGCGCCCTTAGTGCTCAAGGTGAGGGCGGCTCAGGTGCAGCGTCGTCTGGGGCTGTGCACTGCTGGGTACTTATGTCCCCTCTCTCCTTTCATTGTTCTTTTAGCCCAACGTTATGGTTTTTATTGCTGAGCTCTTCTGGTGGTTTGAGAATGTTAAACCCGATTTTGTTCAGCCCCGGGATGTTCAGGAGCTGAAAGATTGTGAGTGACCACACATGGTGGGTGGGGTGTGTTCCAGGGATTCCTGGGAGCTGGGAGATCCTGGGGGTCTGCCGGCACCCAGGGCAGGCTGTGCAGTGCCTAGGTTCCTTGTGGATCAGGCTTTCCTTTTCTGTCCACTCTTCTTCCAGTCTGCATAGTGTTTGGAAAAGTTGGTTTAACAGTCATAGCATTTGCCAGGCACAGTAGCTCATGCCTGAGATTGCAGGCATTTGGGAGGGTTGCTGTGAGTCCATGGCCAGCCTGCACCTCACAGTGAGTTCAGGGCCAAGCTGAACCACAAAGCAAGACCCTGTCTCAAAATAACAAAACAGAAAGTCATATCTGACGTTATGCAGTAAATTTGTTAAATTTGACAACAGTTTTCTGGAGAGGTTTGTTTTCAGGTAAAAGTTGAGTTATTTTTACACTTATGAAAGATGCAGGCTTAGCCAGGTGTGGTGGTACAAGCCTGTAATCTTAGCACTCAGGAGGTGGAGGCAGGATCCCCACAAGTTCGGCCAGTCTGGCCTACATAGTGAGTTCATAGCCTGAACTGCATACACAGACCCTGTCTCAAAAACAAAATACCAGGTTTGTGTTTCATGTTAGTTTCCCTAAAGTTGTTACTTTTGCAGCTAAAACAGTGTTACAGCCGAAGAGCAGCCGGCCCCCTGTGCCTATCTCCAATGCCACCAAGCGCAGTTTCCTGGGCAGCCCCGCTTCGATGAGCCCCGCCGACCTGCCTCCCGCCCCGCTGCCAGCCGAGGGCGGGCATAGGCACCACCTCCACCCCGAGGAATCCGAGTGTCTGTGAGTCTGTCCTGTTCCCCACTTTGTAGCGGCTCAAAGTTGTGGCGGAAGCACTGGCTGTGTCGGTGTGCCCCAGGAAGCTTGTCCTCCTCCGCTTGGGCCTCCACAGAGGCCAGGGCTAATTGCCAGTCTCCACCCTTGGCACATAGCTCTTGGCCTCTGTGTCCTCTCTTCCTTTCTCGCCTCCTCTCTTGCTTCCCACCCCATATCCCTTCTGACCCTAGATGACCTCTCCCTGCATTTACCTCTTTAGGCCCAAGCCTGGCAGCTGCGGCCCAGCATGCTGGTGGCCTACAGTCCCTCCAGCCTGCCCATACCTTGGTGGCCTGTCCTTGCCACATTCCCCTAAGTGTGGCAGCGAGAGTGCCCACAAGCTGACAGCCTGGTCAGCTGGTGGCAGCGCCCTTGCAGGCGTGGCATCCCTGTGAGCACTGGGTCTGCTTCAGGAGTGTGTGTCCTCAGCCACAGATCTGCGTGAATGGGCCGAGTGGGGCCATGTTTGCAGTGTTAGTTTGCACAGTCATCTTTATTGCTGAAGTGACCGGCTTGCCACTGAGCCAGTGCCATGCAGTTCTGAGAATCCCACTCTTCTCACTCCTGTCTCTGTGGTTTCTCTCACATGTACCCTCGTGGCATGTTTATGTTTCACTGTTGAAACGGGAAACTGCCTGTGTGGCTTGCTGACCTGAAGGAACCCCTTGTTTGCAGCTTTTCCATTTGTCCCAGGGTTGGAGTTCTTGGTAGTCTCGTGGCTCATTTTTACAGCAGTATTTCCCAGGAAATGTTAGGGTGCTTACAGCTGAGAAGAAATTCTTGATGATCTTTGCCGTTTCACATGCATTTGCTTTTGAAATTGAAGTTTTATAAATGGTAATTTTTCTCTCAATTGTTTTCCATTTAGGGGGAAAGGAACGTCTGCATTTAGCCCATCCCATCCTTTACTGCCGTTGAGGCAGAAGCAGCAGAAAGCAGCACAGGCCGAGGATCTGCCTGGTGAGAGCATGCCTGCCCGCTTCTGCCCGCTTCCCCTCCCCTGAACCGCAGGACTTCCTTGGAGCCAATGACTTGGCTCATGTAGTGACTTCAGTTAAGAACAGGATGGTAAACTCTGTTTTGCACTGTGTGCCTTGAGTTTACAGTCTGACTGTGAAAATCTCAGCCATACCTAATAAATCCCACGGAGATGCAGAACCGCTGCGGGGACTGAAGCAAGAGCTTCTGTATTGAGGCTTGCCTAGAGTTGGGGTTCCCTTGCTCCCTGTGTTGGGCTGATGGTTGCGTCCCACGTTAGTTACTGACCTGTGAGTAGGATGGGTTCGATTGTCTGCTTTCCTTGAGCAGTCTTGGTGTACTGAGTTAAGATCATTTTCTGGGGAAAGCATTTCTAGTTGCGCAGAATTAAAACTCCAAATGTTAATTCCTCCACACTGCAGATCAGCGGCATCGGTCCAATTCTTTAACCCGAGTTGACAGTCAGCCACGAGGTGCTGCAGTAGCGTGGCCGGAAAAAAAAACCAGGTGGGTCCCTTGGAAGTGATGTTTACATTGTGGTCTTCAGTAGACTCCCCTGAGCCAAGCCTGCTATGGTGGTGCTGAGCAGCCTCCTGCACACTGTTCCACACCTGTGGTTTCTGCTCGTGTTTCAGGCCTGTGTCCCAGCCAACACCTTTTGTACTGCATCATGCCACCAGCTGTGAGGTGGACCCTGGTTCCGGCGACAGCATCAGCTTGGCCCGCTCTATCAGCAAAGACAGCCTGGCTTCCAATATTGTCCACCTGACGCCCCAGAACCAGGCACACCCCACGGCTGGGAAGGCCAACGGGAAAAGCCTGCTGAGCAATGTCAGTATTGAGGATGAAGAGGAGGAGCTCATGGCCATCATTAGGATGGATGTGACTGCCCACCGCGGTGACCCGGAGGTCACCAGGGCCTCACCCCGTGTGCCAGTTCTGCCGACCAGTGCCAAGTCTCCCCAGAGGCAGCTGGATACTGCAGAGAATAAGCCTGACAGTTTCTTCCTGGAACCCCTGATGCCAGCAGTACTGAGGCCAGCAAAAGAGAAGCAGGTTATCACCAAGGAGGACGAGTATGGGGAAGGGAGGCCAAGGAGCTCCACAGCCAAGCGGGCCAGTGAGGGCCCCCAGCCACTGGCACGAAAGAAAGTAACTGGTGGTCATGGTGGGCGGGACTCGAATAGGACTTTCACCCCCATCCCCTGTGCAGAGTTTGTGGCCAGTGCAGACTCGGCTGAGGTATCTCTGCGCTCATCGGAAGCCCTGGGGGAGGTGCGTGGGGGACCTCTGGCCATGGGTGGGTTCCAGCCGTCACCCCAGAGCCAGCCTGTAACTGGCTTCTTCCTCCACGTGGGCCGGGCTGACGAGGATGCAGAGGGGAGGCTGTGCATTGGCTCCAAGAGCCCTGGCTCCCAGGACTCGGAGCCCTGGACGCTGCTGAGGCAGGACTCTGACTCTGATGTGGTTGACATAGAGGACGCAGAGCAGGACTTCATGGGCGAGGGTCACCCTGCAGTTCTTACTGTGTACACGGGGGAGGAGGAGTCTGCCAAGCTGCAAGAGGACATGAAGGTGCGGGAGCATGAGGACAAGGATGGCGCCAGTGGCCGCTCCAGCCCATGCCTGAGCACGGCCTCTCAGCTTAGCAGTGTGTCCCTAGCCAGCGGCAGCGTGAAGATGACCAGCTTCGCAGAGCGGAAGCTGCAGCGGCTCAACAGCTACGAGACCAAGTCCAGCACCAGCAGCTCTCAGAAAACCACTCCAGATGCATCAGAGAGCTGCCCCGCGCCCCTGACCACATGGAGGCAGAAGCGGGAGCAGAGCCCAGGCAGGCATGGTCGGGATCCCGCCAGCCTCCTGGCCTCTGAGCTGGTGCAGCTGCACATGCAGCTGGAGGAGAAGCGCAGGGCCATTGAGGCCCAGAAAAAGAAGATGGAGGCGCTGTCCGCTCGGCAACGCCTGAAGCTGGGCAAGGCCGCCTTTCTGCATGTGGTGAAGAAAGGCAAGGCAGACGGTGCCCCACAGCCACTGCGGCCTGAGCACTTGGCCAAGGAGTACGCACAGCACAATGGCGAGGACCTGGACGACAGTACTGCCAGAACCGAGCAGGGCATGGCTCGGGATGCAGACGGAGAGGGCTTGGCTCTCGTACAGCCTCTCAGGCCCCGAGAGGCAGTCATGGTGCATGACGTGGATAAGAGCAAGGCGATCTCTGCTGCCCTCCTGGAGGATGGGGTGGGTGAGGGTGTGGACGTGGCCGAGTGCGAGCTGTCCATTGAGAAGCTGAGCGAGACCATCAGCACGCTGCAGCAGGCCATCCTGAGGATCTCACAGCAGCAGGAGCAGCTACTCATGACGTCCCCGGCTGTTCCAGTGCCCAGCTCCAAGACCAGCTCCCAGGACCAGAAGGTGAAGGCTGCCATCCACTTTGTGGAGCCGCTCTCACCACCCGGGATGGCTGGTCACCGCAAACCACCTCGGCTGGGCCAGGGCCGGACCTCCCGCTCTGGAAGACCATCGGAGCTCAAGGTCCCAAAAGACAGGCAGCAGGGAGGCTCCAGGAGCAAAACCCCGACGCCCAGCATGGAGGGCCTCCCACACCCACGCCCCTTCCCCCCGGGACACTCCCCGATCACCCCCGACACAGGTGCAGATAGGGCTGCAGAGTCCAGTGGCCACCCACCTGAGAAAGGGCTCCTCGATGGTTACCGGCTCCACGACGAGAGCAATCAGCGGGCATTCATTCTGTCCTCGTCCAAAGATTCCAACGTCATTGCAGAACAGATGGGTCTCAGCGAAGTCCTGGACGCCAGCGTGCAAGAGGCAGAGCTGCTCCGCACGAAAGAGGTAGCCTCCACGGAGGAGCCACTGAGGAGCAAGGCCAGCCTCATCGAGGTGGATCTGGCCCACCTGAAGGCCCCCGACGAGGATGGTGAAGTGGCGGGCCCAGACAGCGCATCGGAGCTCGTCAGCGACGGGGACCAGAAACCTGGGGTCGGCTTCTTCTTCAAGGTACGTGGGCGGTCGTGACGGGGCTGGGGTGGGTTCACACCCAGGACTTTGGTCCGGAGCAGACTTGAGGGTCTGGGTGGAAGACCTGGTCCCCTGCTTGTAAGGCTGAGCCCCCACCACTGCTCATGAACCCTAGGGTCTGATTTCTTGGCATGTACACATGTGACGAAGTGTTTTTCTGTCATGGACTTTTGAACCACTTAGAAGTGTGAAAAAGGCAGAGCCGGAAAGCTATGGGAATGCCGAGGCCAGGCTGCACTCCAGGGGTATGGAGCCTGGGCCAGCCCTGCAGCCTCCCATGCTCCTTCCCTGCGGATGCAGTGGGATGCGACCTGGGCTGGTGCCCTGTGCCGGCCATCCTGCTGAAGGTGCACCGTGGCCCATGGCACAGCTTTGGGAGTGTGCATGTGGGATGTCACTGTGATCGCGTGGGCGGAGTGTAGGGCAGGAATGTGTTTTCATGCAGACTGGTCGTGGACTGCCTGACTGGACGCCTTTGAGCAGCGGTTCCGTTCCTTTGTTCCATAGCGTAGGGAGAGGTGTTTACAGCGATCACAGAGTGAAGCTCTGACCACGTTAGGATCTATGTGCGCCCCAACTCTCGTCGATGGCCTTTGGACACTTCCTGGACCACTGTGGTCTGTTGTTGCAGGATGAGCAAAAGGCAGAAGACGAGCTTGCCAAGAAGCGGGCGGCCTTCCTACTGAAGCAGCAGCGCAAGGCGGAGGAGGCGCGTGTGCGGAAGCAGCAGCTGGAGGCAGAGGTGGAGCTCAAGCGCGACGAGGCCCGGTACCATGGCCCTCCTCCCCACACCCCCAGTGCCTGGCCCCTGCCCTCCCCTCCCCTCCTCTCCCCTCCCCTTCCCTCCCCTCCCCTTCCCTCCCCTGCCCTCCCATGCTGGGCCTCAGCCTTCACAGCCAGCTGTCCTGTCCTCCTGCCCCTCCCTCCCTACCCCTACGTAGCACATGAAGCAAGTCCAGCCATGCGCAGTGAGCTGAAGGCACCAGTCGGGCTCTGCCAGGAGCAGTGCTGTGGATGCGCTCCTTGGAGAGTCCCACCAATGGATGATGTGCTCCTTCTGCCCCAGGCGTAAAGCTGAGGAAGACCGGATCCGTAAGGAGGAGGAGAAGGCACGGCGAGAGCTCATCAAGCAGGAGTACCTACGCAGGAAGCAGCAGCAGATCCTCGAGGAGCAGGGGCTCAGCAAACCCAAGTCAAAGCCCAAAAAGCCAAGGCCCAAGTCTGCTCACCGTGAGGAATCATGCAGCGACTCGGGCACCAAGTGCTCCTCCACCCGTAAGCTGCCAGAACAGGCAGGGTTCCTGCCAGAACAGGCGCGGTGTGGGGAGCTGTGGGGACCCTCCCTGCACAGGAGACACAGGGACAGCGTGTTGTAGGTGCCAGACTACAGGCAGCTGCTGAAAGCCCAATTCTTGCCTCCACAGCTGATAATTTGAGCCAGACGCACTCCGGCTCCAGCCTATCCTTGGCCTCTGCAGCGACCACGGAACCTGAGAGTGTCCACTCGGGGGGTACCCCTTCTCAGCGGTAAGGAGGCCTGGCGGCCACAATGCCCCTAAGATACTCCCACCTTTTGCTCCGATGGCTTCATGCTTGCGGCCCAGGTTGTGGTCCTTGCAGGTCCCTTTCCAGTGCTTCCCTCTGACTCGCCCCCTGCATGCCTGCCCGCTGGTACCCTGAGTGCTGCGCCACTCCCATGCCCAGGGCCAGGGCAGCCCCCTGGCCCTGGCTGGCCTCTCCACCTCACCATTTTCCCTGCAGGGTTGTTTATTATTAGTGCGTGTTTGCGGAACTGTCTTCGGGGGCGCTGGAACTGTGCATGACGCTGGTCAGTCCTTCTCCGTCCCCTGCCCTGCACTCGCCCACTCTCCCGCCCTCTGTATTCATCCTCTTCCCATTTACAGAAGCTCTGTCTCCCTATTTCCTATTGTGTATCTTTAGTTTGTTCTTTATGTACGCTTTGGGTTCCTCATAAGGAAAACTGATACTTTAGCTCCTGTCTGGTTTGTTTCACTCACCATTACAAGGTCGAGGTGCATCTGTTTTCCTCCAGGTGGCTCAGGTTCCCTTTATGGCAGGCAGTGCTCCTCTGTGTCACATCCACACTTTCTTTATCCATTCATCTGTCCATGAGCACAGGGGCTGCTTCCAGGATTTAGCTCTTGCGAGTTGTGCTGCTCTGAATGTGGGTGTGGAGGTTTCACTGTAACATAGCACCTTCGCCCTTCTGGGGATATACCTAGGAGGGTGTAGCTGGCTCCGATGCACCTTCTCGGTGAGGGTTTTTGAGGAATCTCCACTGATCCCCACCGTGGTTTGGTACTTGCTTACACCCCCTCCACAATGCAGAAGGCTCCTCTTTGGCTGTTGTTTGGCTTCTCCTGGATGTCTGCTCTTTCTGGAGGAAGAGGAATCTCTGTGTTGCTTTACTTTGCATTTCCCAAATGACAGAGATGGTGGACGTTTTTTCGTGCATTGGTTACCCTTTTGTACCTCTGAGCAGCGGTTCTGTTCAGGAAGCTCTGGCCTGGGCCAGTGTTTTCACTGGCAGATTAAATGCTTCAGTTTTAATGTTTAGATCTTTGATCCATTTTGATTTTAGTTTAGTTTGTGGTGGGCTGTGTGGGTGTAGATTCAATCATCCGCACGTGGACAGGTTTCCCGGCCCCATCTATGAAGGACACTGTCTTTCCTCCAGGGTGTGTTTTTGGCCCCTTTGTCAAAGACGAGGTAGCAGGATTGTGCCCGTGTTGCTTCTGTATCCTTGTTCTGTTCCCCGATTTGCATTCATTCCTCTGTGTCTCTACCATGGCCGTTCCTGTTACCGTAGCTTTGTAACATAATCTGAGACCCAGGGTTGCGAGCCTCCTGCTTCACTCTGTCGCCTAGGGTTGCTCGCGCTATCCTGGGTCTCCAGGTTCCCTGTGAATTTTAGGATTCTTTCCTCCAGCTCTGGGAGGAGCGCCGCTGGTGTTTGGATTGTGTGTTTTGACTTGTGGCTGTTAGGACTGCATTGCTACTGTGTCTCTGGGAGCAGGTGTTTCTGTTCGTTTCCTGATGCCCTCTTGGAGCTCATTTTTCTGAGTACTATAGTTCTCAGCGACTGTAGAGGTCTTTTGCTTCCCTGGTTAGATTAATTCCTAGGTATTTAATTTTTCTGGATGCTGTTATGGGTGATACTGTTAATTTCTCAATGAGTTCATTACTGGTGTACAGGAATGCTGTTGATTTTTGCGTGCTGATTTTATATCCTGCTACACAGCTGAATTTGGTTATTTCAGGCATGTAAGTGGAGGTTTGTGGGTCCTTTTGCATGGAGGATCCTGCTTGACCTGGTCCCCTTAGGGACACAGGTTCCCCTGGCTGGGGCCAGCTGTGCCTCTTGGGCAGGGCAAGGCCTATCCTCTCTGGTCAGGTCCCAGTCCTGTGGATCTTGGTCATGTAAGGTGCTGTTTGCCATTTTCCCACTGTTAACATTCTCTTTGTGATTAGAAAGTAATTTTCTAGGTGATTCGGAGACTCGACTACACGTCACTGAACTTTATCTGGGACTTTAGGAAGCCCTGCCTGGCCCCTGTGGTGCTGCCCTCCAGTGGCCGTGGCTACTCCCTCCCAAGGTGTCCTGTAGCATGTGTGCCTCGGCCATCCCTGCTGTGTCAGATAGCGTGGCCTGTGGTTTTCTATTGTCTCCTGGTTTGTGCAGGATTCCTTGGAGCAACTTGGGTCTTGCTGGAGTCCGGTTCTGGTCTTCCACCCCCGGCCTGGCTGCCCTGTCAGAGAGGAGCAGCCTGACCCTACCAGCAGGGCACAGTGGGATGTTCCTGCAGGTGTGGCTCAGAGCTGCCTGACCTGAGTCTCTGAGGCTTGCCTTTGCCGCTTGGATGAACAGGGGTCCTGCTGCCTGGCTGCAGCACCCGAGAGACACAGCTCTGCCTCCACTCCTGAGCCAGCAGCTCTGTGGCCCTTGCCCCCATGGCAGCATCCTCAGACTTAGGTTGCGAAGGCGAGCCCTTTCCTCTTGGCTGGAAATATGTGGTGTTCACTTTTGCCTGTGTCTGTGTGTGTGTGCGCGCACGCCCATATGGGGTGTGTGCCACCTTCTGCCTGCCGGAACTAGGTGAGCCCGCAAAGGGATCCTGTGCTGCACTGCAGGTGGGCGGACTGGGCCCTGTAGCTGTGCAGCCCTCACCCTGTGCCTGCTCTTCCTGCAGCGTCGAGTCCTTGGAAGCCCTGCCCATCCTGAGCCGCAACCCAAGCAGAAGCACGGACCGGGACTGGGAGACGGCATCAGCAGCGTCCTCCCTGGCTTCGGTGGCCGAGTACACAGGTGACTGCTCACCCCTGCTTGGCAGCCCCATCAGAGCCTGGCCGTGTGCCTGGTATGGCGCTCCGCAGGCCTCGCACTGCACCCAGGGCTGACAGTGCTAGCGCCCTAGTTTGCAGGAGCCATGCACAGGGCTGGGTGCTGGTGCTGGGCAGCTAGCTCGGGGCACTTGGGAGCCAAGGCTTCTGACACTCTGTGTGTGTGTGTACATTTGTGTATATTTATGTGTGTGTGTATGTGTGTATTTATGTGTGTACATATGTGTGTATGTTTTCGTAGTACTGGGAAACTTCTTGCTTGAATACCAACATTGCAAAATAGCAATAATAACGACGAATGAGTGAATGAATAAACTTCGCCTAAAAAGAAAATATTTTTTGTGCCAGGTGTAGTAGGGCATGCCTGTAATTCCTGCTACTTGGGAGGCTGAGGCAGGTGGACCGTGGGTTCAAGATAGGCCTGGGTACCACAGTGAGACCTGTCTTAAGCTATGGAGAGGAGCGGGCACAGCCCCTCTGCAGCTGGGATTTGGTCACCAGTGCCAGTAAAGTAATGAAAATGTCATTTCCCAGGTTTGTCATTTTATAGAAAAGAAATGGAAATTAGGTACTTTAGGCTTTTATCTCCCACCCCCCTTTTTTAAACACACAGTCTCCCTATGCAGTTCATGCAGTTCAGGCTGGCCTTGAACTCACTGCCTAGTCCAGGCTGATCTTGAACTTGCAGCCATCCTCCTGTCTCAGCCTCCCAGGTATTGGGATGACAGGCATGTGCCACTGTGCCCGGCTACTTTTATTACCTTTTAGATTTTCTCCTAGGAGTTTCCTGGAGTAGATTCGCCATGGTGCTTTGTGCCCACTTGCAGGGCAGCATGTATGCCCATGCTGACACCTGTCTGTTTCTTGACTTCATGATAGCGCTGTGCTCTTTCTCATGTGCCTCCCTGCCCTTGAATGTCTGTTTGCAAACCTTGGCCTGGTATTCTCAGGTCCCAAGCTCTTCAAGGAGCCCAGCAGCAAGTCCAACAAGCCGATCATCCACAATGCTGTGTCACACTGCTGCCTGGCTGGGAAGGTGAACGAGCCCCACAAGCACTCAGTCCTGGAGGCAAGTGCCCTGCATGCTGCCACCACGGGGGCCGCAGCCCCACTATCACTGGGAGCCATCCGGCCAGGAGGGAGGCAGCTATGTCCCAGAGAGCAGAGTCCCTGTGGGTTTGGTTCAGGTGGGCTCAGGAAGAGCGGGACTTGGGCAGGAAGGGAACTCGGGGGTCACTGACTCGGGACTGAGCCAGGGCCTGGAGATAGCAGCCTGGAGGTGGGGCAGGAGACTGTCCAGGAGGGACCGGGGGGAGTCAGGGCAGGTCCAGGTCTTAAAAGGCCTGCATCCTTGGGGATCAGGGTAGATGGGTAAAGCACCTGGCAGCATGGGGCAAGGTGCACAAGACAGTGGGGGCTCCCAGCTGTTCTAGAGGCCGTGTGAGGCGGGGGCAGAGGAGGGGTGGCTGGCTGTGGGCCAGTTGTCCCAGGTGTGCTGTGGGCAGTCATCTTTGTGCTGCAGGGTACAGGGCCGGCTGGGGTGGGGCTGGGACGAAGACCAAGGAGGCCCCTCACCAAGGCAGTGCTGGTGATGCCCTCTGCCCTGGCCGCCCACGGGCTTCAAGTCAGGAGGACTCAGGATATGATGACGGCTTCCGTGAGCACCGATGTGGCCGTGTGGGCAGTGGGCCTGGCTGCTCAGGTCACATTTCATTTCTAAGCAACTGGGTGGCCAGAGGTTAGGGACACAGTAACTAGGCATCCAGGGCTGACCAGGGCATGGAGATGGAGTCAGATGTGCAGTTGGGTGGGGCACAGACAGTGAGGGGACAGTGAGCACAGGAGCTGGCCTGTGTGTGGCAGAGCAGAGGGAGGCTGGTGCCCAGCGGTCACCCAGTGGTCATGGTGGGACAGGCTGCATGGGCCCCTGGGTGGTGGGTGGGTGTGTCTGTTCTGGGGATGAAGTGGTGTGGGTGTGAGCCAGGCTGCACCGTCCTCCTGCTTGGGGAATAGACTGTGACAGAGGTGGTGTGGGGGTGGAGCCCATGGCCAGTCCAGGTTTACAGGGGCGAGGCTGAGGCCTGAGAGTGACCGCCGGGCAAGGACACAGCCCGTGAGGCCCAGAGCACTGTGAGGGGAGGGTGCTGGGGGCCTCTGTGCATCAGGGTGTGTGGCCCGGCAGCTCAGGGAGCTGGCTCCTAAGGGTGTGCTGTCGAGGCCGTTCTGCAGCCCTGCATCCTGTGGCCATCTCGGGCCAGGGCTGCAGAGCTTACAGGAGGAGGCCTGGTGGGCTCCCTGCCCTCGGAGCTGTGCAGCTCAGTCCTGAGGTGGCCCTGGGCATTTACCTGCCAGTTTCCTGTGCAGGTTATAGTGTGAATGAGCTTGTGCCCCATGCAGGGAGGGACACGTCTCAGGCAGTCTCAGACAGCGACCCTCCCGATGGAGGCACCCCTGCACCGTCATGCCCCAAGCTTACCTGGGAACAGAGTAGCCTGTGACTGCAGTGTTACGGCCCCCAAGAGCACCCCAAGTTCAGCGATATCTGGAGGAGTCCCAGACCTTGCTGTGTTGCTGTCTGTGCCAGCCTCCCACCGTTTATGTACCTGAAACCCTACCTCACCCCTCCGAGGGTGCACAGGGCTGCTGAAGGCTGGCAGCTCAGCTGCAGGGGCTCATGCCAGCCAGGGCCCCCCGGACCTCGGTGGCCCTTATTCTGCCAGCAGCTCCTGGATCAACCCCCAGCCACCCCACAGTGACGTGAGCTGGACAGATGCCCACCCTATCACACACTGGCAGACACAAAGGTCACTGGATCACCTTTCTTGTTGTAAGCGGCTAAAGTGCTGTGCCTGGGAAAGGCCTGGCGAGGCGGTGGACAGTGGGAAGACTCTGCGTCACTGGCACATGAACAGGAGTCAGTGCTGCCTGGGTGGCCGTGGGGTGGTACTGGGAAGGGGCACAAGCTTGTGGACACTCAGTGCCCCGCCACAGCAAGGACCATGGGGAGACGCTGAGCCGCGCAGAGGGGCTGGCAGACCCACATGGGAGAGGACCCGCTGCCCAGCATCTCTGAGCCCAAGGCCCCTGTGAGTGTGTTTCCGCAGCTCTCCTATGTGGTCAGGCCCCTGTCAAGGTACCCTTCAGGCACTGGCAGTCTCCCTCTGTCCCTAGGCCTGCAGTACGTGCAGGACCCTTGGGCTGGCATTGGCTATGGAGCAGTATATTTGAGGGTCACAAGTGTTGTGGGAGCTTGGTCAGATGGCATTCAGGCCTCGTAGGTTGGGGACCCTGCGTCTGCCAGCAGGCACTGTGAGGCAGGTGTTTCCATGGGTCTTTGTTACTTCTTGAGTACTTGTGGGTGCCGCAGAACTGTCAGGCTTCCCCATGGTGGCTGGGCACTTACATCCCGCCTGTGCTGAAGGCATCCCCATGCGACAGAGGCGCTACCTTTCCATCCCCAATGGCTGGTGACAGGCATCTCCTCGTGGGCGCACGGTACACACCCCGAGACATGCCTGCCTGCTTAGCTCAACTCCACACAGAGGTCTCAGGGGCTCCCGTGCGGCGGAGCTGTGTTCTCTGTATGGGAGCTACAGGCGGCAGGAGGCGGCTGTGTTACACAGGGCGGACTCGGCTGTGCCCCTGCCTGGGTGTGGGGCCTATGGTGCCTTCGGGGTCTGGGGCCCTGAGAGTCACTGTGCTGCTCAGTGCTTCTGTCTCTCCGACCAGGAGCTGGAGAAGTGTGATGCCAACCACTACATCATCCTGTTCCGCGATGCTGGCTGCCAGTTCCGGGCTCTGTACTGCTACTACCCTGACACCGAGGAGATCTATAAGCTCACCGGCACGGGGCCCAAGAGCATTACCAAGAAGATGATCGACAAGCTCTACAAGTACAGCTCGGACCGGAAGCAGTTTAACCTGATCCCCGCCAAGACCATGTCCGTCAGCGTGGACGCACTCACCATCCACAACCACCTGTGGCAGCCCAAGCGGCCCCTGGTGCCAAAGAAGACCCAGACTCGGAAGTAAGCCGGCACTGCGTCCTGGACGCCTGCCGGCGGGGTCCTTATTTATTCTTTTGTCCACTCGGTACGAAGCGTGCGGGACGCAGACCTGTTCTGAGCCTCTGGCGACACATGCAGCCCCGTTGGAGGTGTGGACACCATGTCCAGGCTGCGCTGCCATGGCCCCGCTAACCTCTGGGTCAGATCTCTGATGCAGGTACCCGTGAGCAGGACCCCGGCCACGTGGCTCCCTCCCCTGAAGCTCCAGGATGAGGCTGTGCCACCCACCTGCACCTGGCCTCCCCACTCCCTTTGCACACGGCCCGAGCCTCGCGCTGGCCAGCGGGGTCGCCAGGGCTGGGGTAGAGGCACCCTCCGGTCGGGCGTCTGAATGTCTTCATAAAAAGAGTTCGTATGGGAAATCTTTTTCATTTGCGAAATTATATGATATTTATTGATCGTGTCTACTGCCAACTTTTATATCTAGTTCTAAGATTTCCGAAAACACCTTGTTCCTTGCTGCTCAGAGAAAGTTTACTGAAAACACCGGTTCGCACTGAAAAGCACTGAAATGGGCAAAGTCCGTCTTCTGCTAAAATAACGTTTACACGTGAGAAGCGATGCTTCACCTGAGGCCGCGAGGACAAAAACAGCACAGCAGCAGTGCTGGGCAGCCTGCGGCCATGTGTTCACTTTAATGAAGGCAGTGAGGGCACAAGAGCGTCCACCGCGCTCGCCGCCCACCTGCACACTCTATTTCTGGGGGCAGCGGGCGTTCCGGCTTGGGGTTGCTGCAGGGCGGCTGGGGACCGGGGTCACCCAGATTTGGAGGCCATTCCTTGGCGGTTCCTGGGTGTGTCTGTGGGTCCTTCCAGCTGGTCCCGTGGGTGCCCGGTGTGCCTGTGAGGCAGACTCCCAGGAGCGGGTGGGCCCTGACTGCCAGGCTGGTGCTCACAGGGTGGGCCAGCTGCTGCCTGCTATGTGTCACTCTGGGCGTGCTGCCGGATTGGCCCTGCGCTGCACCTGTTGGGTGGCATGTGACTGTCATGTGACGCTGGGCAGCAAGGCGGGAAGGAAGTGCAGTCTGTTGCCAGTGTCCTGGGCAGGCACGGCTGTGCCGTGACTGAATCCCGACCCCGAGGCTGCATGGTCTCCTGTGCTGACCATTAAAGTCCGTGAGCGTGTCACCTCCTTTCCACATGTGTGCTTCATTTCCCCTCTGTGCCTGGACATCGCCGTATTGATGCAGCAGGGCACCGAGAGGTCACCAGCGAGCCAGCACGCATGCGTCCGGCACGTGGGTATCAGGTGTGTGTTCCCGTGAGTGTCACTGGGCTCTGTTGGCATCTAAGGAGCTTGAGGTCGCGTGGAGCCAGGCTCCAGGTGCAGTGCACGGTGGCTGTGGCCTCCTGTGGCTGCAGCGATGTCGGTCCGGCCCCACACAGGTCCAGGCTGGGCAGACCAAGACCACGTCACCCGTGGCTGAGGGCCATTTTCCTGCTCTACCCTCCCCCCACTCCTGAGGTCCTGGGGGTGAACCTCAGGCCTGGTGCATGCCAAGCAAGCTATACTCCGGCCCTTTAAAATGTTTTTATTTTGAGATAGGGACTTGCTGAATTGCCCAGGCTGGCCTCAAACATGGGATCTACCTGCCTCAGCCTCAGCCTCACTGGTCGCTGGGCTCCTGGGCCTGCTCCCTGTGCCCCTGGTGTGTCCTTCTGACCTCTGTCATGGTGGGACTGTGGAGCGGTCTCTCCTAGGACTCTACCAGCCCAAGCTGTGTTCTCCACTCAGGCAGTGCTGGGAAGTGAGAGACACACTAGTCACGTCTAGATTATGATTTTAGCCCTAAAATTGTAATTGTTATTTGGAGGAAAAAGTATTTATTGAAATAAAATTTTCTGTTAAGTTGGGTAACCTTTTCCCGATTCTGATTTATTTTGTGAAATGGATCTGACCAGTCAGATGCAGGCTGTCTGAGAGCAATCTTGCTTCACTGTGGCCTCCGTCCATGTGTGATAGTGTGAGGGACATGGCCAGCAGTGCCTGACTTAGGCCACGCCCTCTCCCTGAGCTGGCAGCACGAGCTTCTTTACCGACACCTCCGGCCTGGGGTGGCCGTTGAGCAGAGGCTGCCCGGGTAAACCCCAGGCTCCTGAGGCGTCTGCATGCCTCTTGTCCCTCTCATCTCTCTCCCACTGTCTGGCCTCTGGGAGCGAGTGCTGCATGTGCGGTGCTGTTCCGGAGCCAAGGAGGGCCTCCGAGGGCGCCACCAGGGTGGGACGAGTGGCCGGCTCCGCGCAGGGCCGCGGCCCCATCAGGCCTGGTCGATGCAGGTGCGAGACAGCGTGGTGGGAACTGCGTCCATGCATCCGTGGGGTGGAGATGGAGCCTGTCGAGGGTGCTCTTGTGCTGGAGATGGGTGTCCAGGAGCCCACCCAGGGCTCAGAGGGCCTGAGTGTGGCCGTGCCTGCCGTGCTGGCCCAGGATGCGGTATCTGGGGCTCACCTTTCCCAGGATACTGAGCTGGCTTCCTTCTTGGCAGAAGTGATCTTGACTGTGTTTGGGTGTGGAGAAGATCCACAGGGCACCCTACTTCCAGGCCTTTGAAGTGGAGCAGCAGTGACAGGGTTGGCACGTTGGGGGGCCCTTGGCCTCGGATGCAGCATGGGCCTGAAGCGCTGGTTGCTGTGCGGTGGCTTTAAGTCACGGTGGTAAAGTGCTGCTCTCCGCTTTCCGGGAACAATTTAGAGCTTGTTCTTTGGTCCGAGACAGTCACTTTGGTTTCAATAGCAGGATAGTGCAGGCTGCGGTAAGCAGAGGTGGCTGCACCTGCAGCGGCTTAGTGCGACCTCGCGGTGCTGTAACTCCCTGGCTATCCGTGTTCAACCCCGAACTCCCCACACGTAGCTGCTAAGTTGTGCTCACTTAGCCGGACCAGGCTGGCTTTGTTCCTGCCTTAGGCTGGCTGCCTGCGGCTCAGCAAGCAGGCTAGGTGCGGCTCCTGTCCTGCAGCGCTGGTGGGTAGCATGACACAGATAGCGGTGGTGGTCACCTGAGGTTGTTTGCTTGTTGTTGTTTTGAGACAGGCTTTTGCTGTGCAGTTTAGCCTGACTCTGAACTCACCGGGTTGGCCTTCAACTCTAGGTGATCCTGCCTCAGCCTCCTGAGTGCTGAGTTACAGGTGTGCACCCTGGGCCGGCTGAAGTACCATCTAAAGGTGACTGAGCTGCCTCAGTTCCTTCTCTGCCTCAGCACAGCAGGCACATATGGGTGTGGGTAGTGTTGTGGGTGGCCGAATCCAGAGTTTTTTCACAGAAGACAAGCTTTGCTGTGTATCTCAGCCCACAGTGTTCGCAGTGTGCGGACTTCACTTTGGTCATACACTGGCAGCTGCTCACCCTCGGGGACAGATGTGGCAAGGTGTGGCCTGACTTCCTGTTCTGCACCCTACATGTGCATAACCAGGCCACAGAGTCACCAGAGATGCCACCAGATAGTGTCCCGGGATTCCCTCCGCTCTGCCAAGTGCTGGGCCAACGTGTACAGCACCGGACTGTGACTGCCCAGGAGCTAGCTGAGCCACCCACTCCCCAAAGACAGGACCTCAGCAGAAGGACACTTCGAAAGGGACATTTCCCAGCCTCTGCATGTGACACATTGGGCCCTTCTGACCATCTAGGGGTTACTCAGTTTCTCCGCTGCACATCCACAGTGGTGCTGACTAAATCGAAAATGCACGCACATGTGTGTGCACATACATACGCATACATGTTGAAAGTGTCTTGAAAGTATGAGCGCTCAAGTCTAGACTCCTCCATTAACCTTCCATTAAAATTAAAATATTAATACAATATATTAAAATGTACAGTTTATTAGTTTACTAACTACCTTTATGGAAACCAGTGGCCTCCAGCACCTAGGAAGACCAGATGTCATGAAAGGTCGTTTGCCCTTTGCGCACCCCATACTGCAGAGTGGACAGGAGGACGCATGGACCTGAGGGGCCATGGCCACTGCCTCACGGGTGCCACCGCTACGCCCTGCGTCTCCTTCCCTCTGAGACCCAGCACAAATGGTGTGTGCTCCGCAAAGGGTCCGCCAGTCCCCCCAGAGTGACAGCTCACATGAGTTCTAACAAGAAGAAACTCAACGAGATGCGTTACTTTCCCACTTCTGCTTTTTATTATGTGCCCGGCACTGGTGGCATCAGTATCCCATAGGACTGGCCATCTCCGGAAGCTCTTAGCACTGTCAGAACCGTCACACAGGCCAAGAGGCATGCACAAAGCAATGTCGTTGTGTGAGCCACATTGTCTCGGGGCCACCAGCCCATGCTGCCCCTGCACAGTCTTCTGCGCCGTGTCCTCTCGGCCGCAGGGCAGGCAGGGACCAGCATCTTCCCCTGGCATCCCTTCTCCAGATGCCTCTCGAGCCCCATTCCAGAAAGGCGTGTCCAGAAGGCTTGTTTTTCCCAAACACGTGGGCATTTCCAAGGTGCGATTTCTCGGCACTGCTCTGTCATGGTCAGCAGCCTCTTTCTTTCTATGTTGTCCACTTGTAGCAAGTTTTCTTTTAAAAAGTCGGAATGTAGCCACAGCTTTGTCGGTTGTACACACAGACCTTCTAGAAGTGGCTGGTCAGTCTTCCCAAAGGCCAGGGAGCACCTCAGCTTGCCAGAGGGGGCTGTTTCTCTCTGGCAGTCACCTGTGCCCACCAGCACAGCGTCACCCCAGGACCCTGACTGCTGTGCTTCCACACCCTCCTCAGGCCCTCAGCCCCCATCCTGCAGGGTTGGGCTGGAGTCTCTGTGGCCTGAGGGGCTCCGGATCCAAGGCCACTGCCACCACCAGGCCGTCAGAGCCAGGCCCAGCCAGTGGGCAGTCCCAGCAAGAGGGATGTGAGTGCCGCCAGGCAGACGCCAGCTGTCCTAAGCCCTGTAGCCTCCAGCCCGGGAAAGAAGCACCCCTCACTGCCCACCTTGTGTGCCGGACCCCTTTGGGGCCTTGGACCAGCGTCTCTGCAATGGGTGATGAAGCCACTGGTCAGGTGCCCCGTGGTGTCCTGTGTCTGTGTATGCTTTATGTCTGTCTGATTGACCTGGCTTTCACTGTCACGGGGCCTGTGGTCAGCAGAGGGGCTCAGTGTTTGCAGGACCCCATGTCTGAGGTTGTGTTGCTGACACAGGCCAGGAAGGCACCTTAGGATCCAGTCTGTGTCCAGCCAGCTGAGCACCGCACTGGCCGCTCCCCGTGTGAGGCAGGGTCACCTCTCCAGGGTGCGTGTGCAGGGCACCCACTGTGTCAGCTCTGCTCAGACATCACCCTAGGCCGTGGTGTTTGGGGGGTCTCCCCAGACAGCTGGCTGTGAGCCTGAGACAGGCCCAGGTGGCTTGGGGTTTTCTGTTACTTCTTCCACTGCATGTCCTGATTGCAGTTGGGGTGTGGAGAAACAGGAGCGATTGTACCCCAGCCATCTTCCCGAGCTCTGGTGACTCGGACAGGTGAGCTCGCCAGGCTCCCTAACCCCGACCCGAGCCCCTCGTTTGTCATCTCCGCTTCCGATGCCTTGCAGGTCTCGGCTTGCCGAGCAGGTGGTCCATCTGGGTGACCCTCCTGTCTGTGTGCCGTGGGTGTCCCTGGCAGGCCGTGGCCGGTCCCTTCCCGCTGTGCTGCAGGGGCAGCATCTGCTGAGGCAGCTGTCGGTGCTTCCTCCTTCCTGCTAGCCGGTTCCCCCAGGCGCCCTTCAGGGACTGTGGCTGACCAGATTCCTGCAGTGGCACCCCTTGGCTGAGTGTGTGACCTGCCTTGCCCATGGGGCTCGGCGTGCTGATGCTTGGCTAATCTGTAGGGCATGCATTTGTGATTTTTTTCCCAACGTGGCTCTTTGCAGATTCGTTGTCAGTTACAATGGCAACAGAATCATCTGGGACATGTGGCTACCATTTCTCCATTGAGAAGAGCCATGCCTTCCCAGGGGTCACAGGCGTGTTGGGCATCCTGTGGGCTGGGGTCTGAGGTCACAGCTTGGCAGCCCTGGGTTCCCTGAGGCTCTCCTTGGTAGGTTGGTGCCGTCCCCTACGTGTCCTCACACCGTTGGCCCTCTGGCCTCTGAGAGATCTCCTGGACTGGGTGAGCCGCAGTGGTGGCTGCGTCTTGGCTTCCTTCCTGCTGAAGACCTTGTACCACCTTGCGGTCGGTGGCAGTCACATACTGATGCAGGGACATCGTTGGCCTTCGCAGGTGGTACCCACATTGGTTCCACAGCTGGGTTTCTGCCACAAGGTGAGCTGACTGTTGGATGGGCAGACCAACTGCCTGGCTTCTTCACCCCGTGCCTTGTGACATCCCTGAAGGCACCTGAGGGACCCTGGATGTGAGATGCAGGTGGAACATTCAGTGGGTTCCCATGAGCCCTCTGCTCAGAGAGCAATTTTGTACCCAGATCGCTAGGGACAAAGGGGCTAGAGACCAAGCCATACCTTCTGCTCCAGGATCTTGGCTGGCCTGTCTCACCCCCATTGGTCACCGAGCCTCTCCCATGGGTTAGGTGCTTGCACCTGGGCTCACAGGGAAGACCATGGGTCCTGGGGTTTACGCAATGATGCCCCTAGCCTGCCTGTTGGAAGTGTACAGACTGCTGGCCCACGGGAGACCCACTCAGAAGGTACACACAGCGCAGTCTTGCCAGCTCAGCAGAACACACCTGTGCTGGGGACGCTAGCGTCTCTGGGTGGCAGAGGGGACAGGTGGGCTAAGTTTGCCTCACTGCTCTGATCTGCGAGTAGGGCTTGGCGTGCCTGGGTTGCCAGCTGGCACAGGGTTACCTGAGGTGGACAGCAGGGACAGTAGACTTCATCCCCACCTGCACTGCAGCCTTGGTTCCTGCAGGACAACCTGGGGCAGCAGGGCTCACTGCTGGGTGCTCGAGGAGCCCAGCAGGGACGCCAGCCTCTGTGCTGGAATCCAAGGCCCTGCCTGCCTCCAGGGTGCTGAGGGGAGCATGGCTGTGCACAGGGTGGTGGTGCTGCAGTCCCTGAGCAGAGTGCTGTCCCATGGTGGTGGCAACCCTAGTCTTCAGGGCCGGTCCCTGCTGGGGCCTCCCGACTCCTCGCTCTTTGTCTGCCTTGCCGCAGGGCACAAGGTGGTCGGGGAAGCTGGGCAGGACCAGGAGCTGGGGACCCGGGATGAGCAGTCTAGCCAGCAGGATGGCCAAGTGCATGTCCAGACAGCCTGAGGCCACCACTGCCACTGCCTCGGAGGCCCCTTGCTTGGTGGGGGAGTCTGCTCGGTCCCAGGGTGGCTGCGGCTCGTCCTTCTGCAGCTTTCCCTGCAGTCACTTGCACCCCATTTGCTTAGAGGTTGGCCTGAGACAGACTTCTGCCAGTATTTCCAGGGTTGCAGCCCATCATGGACGCAGGGAGACGGAAGTACAGGTCCTGGGGCCACAGCACCACGCAGCAGAGGGCAGCGGGAGGCCAGCAGGACACCCTTGCTAGGAAAGGGGAGGCCAGGCCTCTTTGGCCGCCTCCCGGCAGGGCGGGAGGTAGGGACCAGCCTGTGGCTGCAGCAGCCCTAAGGAGCAGAGGGACACAGCTGCCCGTCACCACGTGGCTGAACCTGGTGCATGAAGATTTGGAGCTCAATCACTAGAGGCGCCGAGGGTCCATCCTCGTCCCTGGTCCCTGCCACAACTGGGCATTGAGTGGGACCACAGTGGGATCTGGAGGGGGTGCTGCCCCTCAGCCACCTGGACAGTGCTGGGCTTTGCCAAGGCACTCACCAGAGGCTGGACAAGGACAAAGCCAAGGTTAAGAGCAGGGTCCTGGGTCTAGTGCCCAGATGCCACCTCCAGGCCCTGCTGCTGTCAGCACCCCCTTCACTGCCTTCCTTGCTGGGCACTCTCAGTGGAGTGAGGTGTCCTGCATGACATCCTGGGCAGAAAGCGGGTATTATTGGGCCAGCTGTGTCCACAGCAGCCCTCAGCTGAGGCGAGCTGAGGGCCATGCTGATCTCTGGCTTCCTGTGGGTGCAGGTTTGGTGCATCACTGCTCAGGTAGCCCCACCCCGTCTGCAGCCCCACTGGAGCTGGAGCTCCTGTGTGACGAGCTGGAGCTCCTGTGTGACCTGACCTGACCTGACCTGACCGGAGGCGGAGCCATTCTCCTGCCTTGAGCACTGTGAGGGGCTCCCCCTGCTGGCGGATGAGTGTATCCAAGGGCCTTGCTCCCCCAGCAGGCGCCTTTGGGAGGAAGGGGCTCATAGGGCTGCACAAGCCCTGTGGGCCTGGGTATGGGTGGCCAGTGGCCGTGGGCCCAGGCCAAGTGACGGGAGACTCCAGATCTTCTTGGAGTTGTGTCCAGCACCCCAAGAGCACCCCAGAACTCCAAGCCCAGGGAGTGAGACTGGGTGCCCAGCCCCTATAGAGAACGCCACCCTGTGCTTGTGCGTCCTGCACCCTTGGAAGTGGTCAAGGGGGCCGGGTGGGGAGCGCTGTGTCAGGGTCTGCCCCAGTGCGGTGCGGGGTGCAGGGGGCAGGGACTGTGGATGTTGCTTCCTCCTCTGTCCTTTGTACCTGTCCCCGCCTCCTTCAGGCTTCTCCTGGGAGCTTACACGTTCTTAGGTGCTGGCCACTTTTCAGGGTGTCTCTCTGTGGCTCCTGGGAGGCAGCAGGACCCATGGCCAACTGCCTGTCCCTCACCACCTGCAGCAGCAGTGCCCAAGCCACTCGTTCTGGACCAGCAGCTTTTGGAAAAATAAGAATAAAAGGCTTCTCCCAAATACGGTGTGTTTCCAAAGCCTTAGCTCCAGACAGCAGCAGCCTGGAGGCTTGGGTCCCTGTGCACACAGCTGTGCAGTGGGTGTCTCAGGAGAGCTGCTAGGGTGCCCGGCAGGAGGGCCAGCGGGGTCAGGACCCTGCTCCTCAGTGCTGGGGCTGTTCGTGTGCAGACCTAGAGCCCCCCCCCCCATCAAGGCCACAGCCCACATGTGGAGAGCTCAGAGGTCGAGGGCAACACAAAGCTTCCAGGTGCGCAGGCAGCGTTTATTGGGCTGGTGACTGGCATCTCACAGGGCAGCTGTGCTCCTGGCCAGTGTGGTGGTGGCCTGGCTTACTTAGTAGCTGAGAAGGCCTGGCATGCGGGGGTCACCCCACCTCTGCCAGGGACCAGGAAGATGCTGCTGTCCACAGCTACCTGCTACAGCCCAAGCCCAACGCCAGGGATGTCCACCCAGGTGCTACCCGGAGCAAGCCCTACTTCCAGTCAGGTCGGCACAGGGAGCTGGGGTGTAGTGCAGGACATGGGGCCCAGGGCACCAGCGAGGCAGCTCACTCCTAAGCAGGACGCTGGGGGTTCCCTGGAGTCACTCAGCCCAGGGACCTGAGTGGCCTCAGCTGAGACACAGCCCAGGGCAACGCTTGCCACTGCATCAGGCCTGGGGTTCCCCATGCTGAGGGCTACAGGGTGTTTCCTGTCCCTAGGAATGCTGTGCCTCAGGCTTCTAGGCACTTTCTGAGCAGGCATCAGGCAGGCCAGGGTAGGGGCACAAGCTGGACGTGTGTCCGAGTCCTGCAACAGGCAGCCCAACTCTGGGTGCATCCCACATGGTCCCCTGAGCCGCCTGGCCTGATGTCAGGAGCCCTGCCCTTCACTGCAGCCTCTTGATGTACCAAAATGGACAGAGGGGAGGTGCACAGCCCTTCCCCCAATGGGAGGGTCCCTGGCAGCTGTTGGTCTCAGAACTGTGACAACCGCAGGTCTGCCCCTGGGAGCTTCCTGGACACTGGGCAGCCCACCCCGGCCAACCTGCCATATGGGGCTTGCAGCCTGCACTTTAGAAAAGCTGTTACTGGCCGAGTCAAGGTCAGTTGAGGACCACTGTGGGCATTTATGACCCTGCAGCAGGTGAGCCCAGGTGTCCTCCAACCCTGTAGCCAGAGCCCGAGGGCCCGGGGAAGCTGCTTCGAACATGCAGCCTGCAGAGTGCAAGGGTTGCTAGGCTCAGGGCGTGGGGCATCCAGTCCCTGGCCTCCACCCTGGAGAAGCCTGCAGAGGTCAAGGACAGCAGCCTGCATCCAGGACTAATTGTGCTTCTTGTGTCGGGAGTTAGGAACAAGGCTTTGCTTGGATGTGCAGCGTCCCCACACGAGGTCCCCAACCAGCGAGCCAGCGAGCAGTCCGTGTAGGAACAAAGAGGCTTCTGACTTCTGTGCAGTTCCAGGCTAAGTTCCAGCAGAGGGCGCCCTTGCACCATTCCAGTGCTCCACCCTGTGGGAGCCTTGATGGGCAGTTCCTGTGTGGGCCACCAGTCCCCACTAACCGGTCTTTGGGTGCCCTTCTCTCCCAGCCTCTAGCAGTGCCCAGGGATGGCCATGCAGGGCAGAGGACTCCCATGGTGTCCAGTCCCTGCCCATCCCCTCCCAGCCACCCTCTTTTGCCTTCGCTGGTTCCTGGTCACGAGTTCCGGTACAGCTGTGAAAAGACGCGAGTCATACAGATTTGTAAAAACAGGTTAAAAAAACGCTTCCACCAGCTCCAGGGCAGTGTGGAGGTTCCACTGCTCCAGCCTGCAGGATGCCTCGCCCACAGCCACAGCCCAGGAGTCACTGGAAGCCCCGATGGCCAGGGCAGTGGGTGGCTACTTCCTCTGCATCCTTGCTGCAGCCCCAGGGGTCCAGGTCCCAGGCCTCAGAGCTGCGTCTCATCGCGAGTCTCAGGGTTGGAGGATGACAGTTTGTGGCTGCAGCTGTTCCTATGGTTTGGGGAGCTGCTGGCCATGTGAGCCAGGGGGTCAGAGCGGATGAGGTACCTGCAAGGACAGTGGGGCCTGGAGCAGCAGGACCTCTGCTCACATCCCACATCCCCACAACGGGCTTGCGAAGCCCCGAACCCGACTGCAGGACAGTGCACTCACACAATGTCATTGGGCTCCAGCCGTGTGTCAGGTGGGGGGTTGATGAGGACATAGGAGAGGGTGTTCTGCTGGTCATTCATTTCATCTGCAACGGACACAGCCACCCCGGGTCACCACCTGGCCATGTCCACAGGGCTGCTGCAGGGCGTGGAGCTGGGGCAGAGAAGTCACCCCGAAGCTCACCCAGCCCAGGCAGCAGCGGAGGGGAATCACAACTGGGTGGACCGGAGCAAAGGCAATACACACACCTGCAGGAACCCCACACATGCTGGGATACACCTGCCTGCACAGACACAACTGTCCTGCACACCTGCACACAGCCAGCCCAGTGTGCCTACATTCCCCAGCCTCCCTGATGCCCTGCAGCACCGCTGTCTCCAGGGCACCCCAGGCAGCTGCCCTCACTCCCAGTCTCAGCCCTTGGTATTGGACCCTAGTCCCCAGCAGCCATCAGCCCAGGCACCCACTGAACTCGTGGTTCAGAGAGGAGGACCCTCCTGCCAGGAGCAAGGGCTGGGGGCCAGAGCCTGCCTGCCCTGGGAGATGGCCTGCCGCAGTGGTGTCACCCACAGGGTGAGGGTGGCTTCAGCTGAACTCTGGTCCATCTCCCAGACTTCACACTCGGTCAGCAGGAAACCCTGGCCAAACCCAGGATTGAAGAGTGGCCAGCTTGCTGGCAGTGTCCTCGAGCACACTGGCCTCTGTTTACCCACATGATCATATCCAAAGGCACCCCAGATGCCCAAGACCACATGGTGGCCCAAGACCAGACACCTCCCCTCTGGCCCCTCCAACTTCATCCTGCATATCCTCTCCCCAGGGACTGTGCAGGCCGCTGCCCAGAAGGCACAGGGTGTCGGCAGGGCTGGGGCAGTAGGGTCTGCAGGCGGGGGGGCATGAGACTCATCTTGAGTGAGGGCTGCTGGTTTCCAGTGCTGAAAACAGAACTACTACAGAGTGGGTAGGATGGGCATCAGGGACTCTAGGCAGGTGAGCCAGGGCCAGGATCACATCTGTGACTGGAACAGGTCGGCCTGACCACCCTAAGCCTCCACAGCATAGGGCTCATTCTGCCTCAGGGGCACAGCTGGTGATTCTGGCCATTGCCATTTGCTGGCCCCGAGACCATGTGCCCCAGGCAGCCAGTGGTGCAGGTGGCTCTCACCAGGCCCACACCCAAACCACGGGGCCACACCATGGTGGGCACACAGTGGGGCCACTCCAGGGTGCAGCCCAGGTCTGCTCTGTGCTGGTCAGCTGTGCCCTTGAGAATGAGCCAGGATATCTGCAGGGCTGCCACAGCCCATGGCGAGGCTGAATTAGGCCTGGCTCTGTGCTTCTTGGGGTGCCGGGTGTGGGGCATGCCCAGTACTGCACTGACTGTTCGGCCAGCCAGGGGGCTGAGTGGCCGTCTCTGTCCATGCTTGGACAGGTAGGGGCAGGGCAGGCCTGGCCTGGCTGTTAGGAGTGTCAGCAGAGGTACCCACTGGACCCCTGTACCCAGACCCTCACTCTTCCCCATGCTGCCTTCTGGGGCTGGGACTGCCCCGCACGTCCCACTCGTGTGCCTGCTTCCTCAGCCTAGCCAGAGCCACCCTTGCCTGGCCGTGCCTTCCTTTGCCTTATCTGCACCCCGAGAGCCTGGCATCCTGGGGTGCCCCCTCCAGCGTGACTCACTGCCCTGCTTTCTGTCCCAGTCCAGGTGCCAGCAGTCATCTGCTTTGGGGGTGTAGTTGCAGCCCCCTGGACTGGACCCCAATGCCATCTCCCTGTCCAGGACACAGGTTGGGCTCGGGAAATGCCATGTGCAGGCACATGCAAGCCTGGGGCCCTCAGTCTGCATCTGCCCACCCTGCCCAGGAGCCACAGGGATGCAGTTGCAGTACAGCCAGGCACAAGGCAGTGAGTGTCCAGTTCACGGAAGCCATCTGCCCTGGGCTGAGCCCCCATGCCCAGCAGAGGGCGCTCTTCCATGAATCAAGCTGTGGGACGGCCAAACTAGGAGACGGCTTCCCCTGAGCTGACCCTGCCTCCCTGTCCTGGAAGCCCCAGAGCCCTGTGGGGTGGCCAGGATGTCAGGGTCGTCCTCTGCACCTCAGTGGGTGGGCTTGGGCTATGGGCATGTGCCATGTACCAGCAGCCCTGGACCAGTGTGAGCACAGATGACACACATCGTGGCGCATGGTCCTGCCAGGTCATCCAAGCCCAGGCCACTGCCAAGGGAGAGGCCTGGCCTGCTTTTGTCTCTCCTGCCACTACCTGACCCGGCTGGGCAGTGACAGGTTGGCCCGTGCCCTGAGCAGAGTCTGTGTCTGCCAGGGCAGAATTACCTTGTAAATATCCCAGGTTTACCCGATTCATGACATCACTGGCTGTTAAATTTGCTACGTCCTCTAAGAACATACAGGGGCGGCACAGACAGAAACAGAGAGAGAGAGATCAGCAAGCCGTGGGGCAGGGAAGGGGGGCCAGCTGCACAGGGGCATCCACACCCGACGGTGGCGGCCAGCGAGAGCCACCTCAGGAAGCCTCTTGGTAGCCAGCAGAGAGCTGCTCTGCAGGCCCTGGGGGTGCAGGGCAGGCGCTGATGTCAGGCTGGGATGCTGGGGAACTGGCTTGGGCTTGGTACCATGCCCTCCAGGGTCCACGGGCTGTGGCTGCGAAGGGCCCTGCAGGTCACCCCTCAGGGGAGCCACTGCTGCCCCAGCACCCAGCATGCCAGGGCCCAGGGCAGCTGCTTCTGCTTGGGGCTGAGGGCCTGGCCCAGTGGTGGACTCAAGAAGCAGGTGGCCTATGCCATAGCCAGGCCTGATACGAAGCCCAAGGGAGTGCTGGGCAGCGGATGGACATGGGGAATGGGCCCTGTGTTCCCACTGGCAGAAGTCAGCAGCTCCACAGGATGTGGAGAGGACAAGCTTCTGCCACCTGGGCACCTGGGTCAGGCACATGTGTCCCTGAGCAAAGCCCGGAATGGGTACAGCGTGAATTGGCCCCACGGAGTCTAGGGAGGCTCCATGGCAGCAGTGATGGCAGCTATGCCTGGGAAGGGGGCACCCTGGCGTGGCTGTGCCCATCCCTGTGGTTAGACCCCATGCCGGGCAAGGTAGCTGCTCTGTGATGGGCACAGACTTCTGGGCTGACCCTTCCACGGCCAGGGATTTGGCCCTGCTTTCCACTGGGGACACCCAGGAGCCCAGAGTGCAGGGAAGAGTTGGTCCTGGGCCCTCTAGCCCTTGCAGGAGGTGCCAGGGTGGGGCCTGAAGGCGCGGTGCTCACCGTAACCAGATGTGGGCAGCCCCAGGTGCTTCATGCGGTTCCTGACCAGCTCGGAGAGCTCCTGGCGCTCAGAGCACCGGTGCAGGCTGGGCCACTGCTGGCCCCTCTCAGCTGCAGACACCTTCCCCGGGGGCCGGGAGCCCTTGCGGCTCATCTTCCGGGCCCACTGCAGGCTCTTGCGCCGCAGTAGCGGGTGCTCGGCCGGGTCACTGCTGCTGCCTGTGTGGCGGCTGTGGGTGCTGCCCCCGCCAGGCCTGGCTCGTGCACCCCAGGGCCCCCTGTCCTCACACGTGTCCTCGCACTCTCCCATGTTCACCAAAACCTGGGACTGGGTAGGTGGAGGCCGTGGGCTGGGGCCAGGGAGGCTGGGCCGGCCCGGGGCATACAGGCCTTTCCACTCCAGCCCAGAATGGTGCGGGGCCTGTGCCCAAACCACCCCGCTGTGGACCTGTCCAGGGATGAAGTCCCTGCCTGCCAGAGTGGGGGATCGTGCCCCACGTCACCTCAGTCTTCATTTGCAGGTGGGAGCCATTTCTCTTGCAGTCCCAGCTTTGGGACACTGTGCATGGTTTGATGGGCAACTGGGTGCTGGGGTGAACACATGGGGACCCCACTGGGCAGCACCTTGAGGGCCCAGAGCTGCTGGGGCCCAGGTGAACCTACTGAGAATCATCCAGCCTGTTTCCCCACCAGTATAGGAGAAAGGGAAGGGCCTGGAGCCCTGAGCTGTCTCACAGCCAGGGCATCCCGGGCACCACACCCTGTGATACCACTCGTACCACAGGCTTGAGGGGAGGGGGCTCTGGGGTTGGAGTCCCTCAGGGAGGCAGGGAGCAGGATTGGGGTGCTCACCTGGGCTTTGAGGTCCTGGGGCTGCAGAGGAAAGAGAGCCAGACTGGAGTCCTGAGTGCCCGGTCTACCCCGTGACTCTGAGCCCCCCACCAGGCACTGTCCCCTTCCCCACCTCAGAGGAGAAGACGTGGCACTCGGTCCTGTAGATGCCGATGGGGATCTCAGCACTGGAGGAGCAGAGCTTCTGGAAGAGGCGGCCATAGGTGCGGATCCACAGGTCGTCCTCAGTGATCTTCATCTGCAAGGATCATGGCCCAGCCCTGATGTGCCACCAGGGACCCATGCTGGGCCAGCGCCCCGCCCGCCAGCCCCGGGACTCACAGCGCAGAGGTAGCCAGAGCCAGGCGTGGTGTCCAGGCCCAGCAGCAGCCGCGTGATACTGATCATATAGTCCTTCACAAAGGACTGCGGGTGCGGGGAGGTGGGGTGTGTGTGTGTGTGGCATGACTGAGAGCCTGCCCGACGCGCCCCATTCTGGGACGGCCGGGCGGGACCCCAACCTGGGATACCCGGGCGGGGCCCTGCCCTGGGAAGGCCAGGTGGGGCGGGACTGACCTGATAGAGCAGGGTGTCCAGCATGCTGATGCTGAACACACGGCCAGCAGCGAAGGGCAGGCGGAACATGAAGGCCAAGTTGGAGCCATTCTCTCGCTCCCGCTGCGGGAGAGGGGACCTCAGACTCCTGTGTCCCCGTAGGCTACCCGCCCAGCATGCTCCCAGCGCAGGACAACTTGGGGCCCAGAGGGGGCGATGCTCCCTCCTCGTGTCCCCTCTGCTGTCAGCACCCTGAGGTTCACATCATGGGCCGGGAGCTGGGGAGGGGCCCACGGACCGCACCCAAGCCTGGACACCCCAGCAGTTTCATCCTGACCCTCGCTCTGTCCGCTGAGGACACCAGGGCGCAGTGGAAGCAGGGCAGTGACCTGGAGGATCTGCTGTGGAGATCTGGAGGGTGCTGGGAAGATGCCACAGACTGAGCAGCTTAAAACAACAGGTCTTGTCCAGGCCAAGGGCCAGATCAGGACTATAAGCCCTCTACCAGTGCACATGGCTCCATGGCCACTTCCTGGGTGACTCTATGACTGTACCTAGGCCTCTTCCTCTAGCCTCCAAGCCCAGGGCAGCACCGTCCCATGTCTGCCTCCATTCTCCCAGAGCCACTCGGACTTGGGGCCCACATGGGAGCCCTGGGTCCTCTCCCATGCATAGTCCCGCTGCCAGACTCCAGGAATTGCCACATGACAACTTCCAGGCTGTGCTTTGTCAGGTTGTGACCATGTGGAGCTGAGCTCCAAGGCACTTGAAGCAGTGCTTCTTAGGGACACAGCCAAATGCCTGGTGAGACCTCCTTTGGGCCCAGAGGCAGCCTCAGGTGTGGTGCAGTGGCACAGGTTGTACAGGGCTCTGTAGTACAGAACAGGGCATGCTGACCTTATGCTCATGAAAACCCCAGGTTAGCAGGGCCAGGATGAAGGGGCTGGTGAAACCCCCCTCGTTGGAACCACTGCTGTCCAGACTGGAAGAACGTCAGGCAGGAGAGCTTTGAGCCTCTCCCTCCACTCCAGTCCACACAGCCGTCCTCGACATCGGGACACAAGCTGATGCTGCCCCAAGACCACCGGGGGCTGGGCCTTACACAGCATGGAGCAGGCTGCTGTGGAGTGGACGCTCCCCTGCCTGGCCACCTCAGGGACTCACAGCCATCCATGCACACTCGTCCACGGTATGCATCTCGAGGCTGGGCCAGTTCCCCTTTGCTGTCCATGTTGGCTTCCAGGTAAATCAGGCATGGCATGCAGTCTGCCACCCCAGCCTCCTCTTGGGGAACTGCTCCCCGCAGCCCAGCAGCTTGGGGTGATAGCCTATCTGCAGCTTTCTTCCTCAGCTTCTCAGGGTTACTTTGTGGAAAGGCAACAGCTCAGTAGTGCTTTTGTGTCCAACTGAATGACCACGTTCCTTTTAAAAGAGGCTCACACTGCTGGGTGCTCCATCCATCATCACGTTGGGAAAGATGGCCTGTCCCCTGAGCAGGGACGGTGTGACCACAGCCCTGCTACCCCAACCCTGCCACTCCCGAGTGCTGGCCACCCCCAAGGTCACCCCAGGCAATGTCTCAATACCCAGCTGGTCCCTATCGTCACATCCACTGCAGGGTTGGGGGGAGCAGGTGGGCAGAACCCAGAGGGAAGCAGCTCTGCTGCCTGCTGGACCAACAGTGGTGATGGCCGGTGATATGTGTGTCCTCCACGCTCCCTGTCCAGGCTGCTGTAGCTGCTCTCGGTCTCAGGGAGGTGGCACTGGTTCAAGGCAGCCCATGGACACTGTCTGCACGTATGGTGAACCAGACTTGGTCATCAGATGCCCCCACGCAAGCCCCAGGTGTGGCCCCCTCCGGGGGTGTGAAGTCCCCCAGCTTGAGGAGAGACAGGGTCCTCTGTAGGCCCTTTGCTCCAGTGCAGCTGGAGTCCTGGGGTCCCCATGAGCTCTGGGTCCAACTGAGTGGAACCCCTGTGCATGAAGCCAGTCCCGGCTCCAGTGGGAGGCACTGGAAGGTCCTTCCTGGCTGGCCACAAGGGCCATGGCACACCATGCCCAGATTGGTGACCACGGGCTCAGGAGGAGCAGTGCTCAGTGGCCGGGATCTCCTACTGGTCCTGGGCCTCTGGCTGCCCTCGTGCTCGCCAGCCCCTTCTACCAGTCTAGGCAGGAAGCACAGGGCACCCTGACAGGGACCCAGCTCCTGGTGGGCTGGGTCTGTTGTCCTCACCTCTGGCCGACCTGCCCGGGGCTCCACACCTGGGCTCAGCTGATGGCCTCCATTGAGCCCCCAGAGCAGAAAGCGGGGAGTCAATGCAGCTCTGCTGGGCTCTGACTGCAGGTGATCAGGCCAGTTTCTCCTCCTCCCTGCCCGTCCCTCTCTGTCCCCAGGCAGTGGACTGCCAGAGGACATTGTTGGAGCCAAGTGGGCTCCTCTGAGGGGCCCCGGGCTACCCCAGCAGGACAGCAGCCTTGGCCTCTCAGGACTCCACACCCCACTCACCTTCTCCAGCTTGGAGAGCGCCAGCGAGTAGCTGTCCTTGGCGCGGAACTGCATGAAGCGCATGTTGGAGGGGTGCGTGAGCTCCGTGGTGATGCTGAGGCTGGGGAAGAGCCTGGGGGTCCGGCCATGAGCATGAGGCGGGGCCCGTGGTCCCCTGTGGTCCCTGCCCGCCCGCCGTGGCCTCACCGGAACATGGTCTGCACATTGACGATGGTCTTGGCATCGGCCATGTAGTCTTCCTCGGCGCTCATGGTGCTCTCCTTGTCCACCACCACCAGGTTATCCGCGTAGATGATGCCGCACTGCAGCAGGCTGTCCAGGCTGAGGGCAGCAGGAGCAGTGGCCGGGACCCGCCGCCCGCCCAGAGGCCAGCAGCCTCTTCTCGCCCGCTGCCCACCGGTAGGGTGGGGCCACCACAGCCGCCTTACTTATCTACGGAGCCCTCCATGTAGTAGACCATGGGGAAGCAGCAGATGGCCTCCAGGAAGTGGTGGTCAGGCCTGTGGGGACAGCGGCCAGATGTGGCCCCTGCTCTGCATGTCGCCCTCCCCACACCCCAGAATAGTGGGGGATCTAGGGGAGCTCTCGAGACCCAGCAGGGCATGCAGGGTCCAACAGCTGAGACTGGACCCCTTGTTCCCCTAGCCCCCACAGGTCCTCTGCTACAGGGACAGGTGGATGGGACACGAGGCCAAGGGGGCACGGCAGGGCCACCTGTTGTCCAGCAGCAGCACGATGGGATTGAGCTCCCTGCGCGGCCGGTAGTAGGCTCGCAGTGGCACGATGAAGTTGTACAGCCCATTGCCGGCTGTCTCCGCCGAGACGATGATGAGCTTGTTCTTGAACCCATAGGCCTTGGCGTCCTCATAGCTGTTGTGCTTGCAGCCCTGGGGGCAGAGCCAGCGCTGCCACCCATGCCAGGCTCCTCCTGCCTGCCGCCTGGGCCCACCGAGGTCACACATGTCTGTAATCCCAACACTCAGGAGGCATGAGGGGCACTGGGTTTGAGGCCAGCCAGGGCTACACCATGAGGCCATGTCTCAAAAAAAACAAAAATCCCTAAAGCCAAAAGCATAACCATGAAGACTGAGAACAGAGGGAAAGCCCATGGGCAGGTCCTCTGGGAAGCCACTGCCACAGAGGGCCACAAGGCTGCAGAGAACCATCCACCAGGGCTGAAGCCACGTCCTGCCCTGGGCCTGCTCACTGTGCTGTGGTCACCAGGGTGTCCCCGCCCTCAGGGACACATGGACGTGTCTGGGGCTCAGCTCTGAAGTAGGGCAGAGGCCGGGGATACAATTCAGTGGCACAGTGCCTGCCTGGCAAGTGCGATGTCCTGGGTTCGATTCCCGGTGCCAAAGAAAAATAGCCTCATTATCCAGTGGGGAATTGGGGCTGGTGACCGGCACTTGCGGCACAGCTTCCCGGGGTTGGTGTGGGGCTCAGGGACGGGGCCTCACCTTGTCCAGGCGCAGGCAGCAGAATGGGGCCTTCACAGGCAGCAGGTGGCACAGGGTAGGGGAGCTGCCAATGTAGGGCGAGTTGGGCGGGTAGCCCTTCACGTACCTGCCGGGGACAGGATGGGTGGGGCCTCAGGCACCACAGCCGCTCTGCCTGGGGCCCCTCTGCCACCTTCACCCTCCCCCACCCCGGGTGCCTGCTCCACCTGAGTACCTCCCCCGAGAACCCTCTGAGCCAATCTGCAGCCACTATTGGGACCTGCCTGGCCCAGCAGCCAGTGGGGCCGGGACTTTGGGAAGCTACCCTCACCCCTGGGTCAGGAAGTGCTTCAAAGGCCAGGCCAAGGTGGGCCACAGAGGGGCCCTCACCAGTCCTCCAGCAGGTGCCGGACTTCCTCCCAACCCCAGCAGAGCCAGAACATGCCTGCCATGCCACGCGATCCCACACCACTCTAAGCATAGGACCTTGCCAGGCGCCTAAGGGACACAGCATTAGGGCCCACCTGCTCCAACCCAGTGTCGGAGCCCTGGCCCATGGCTCCTTTGTCAGTCACCCAGGAAGTGGGCACATGGTGACCCTGGCCAGGCACCACCTGTCCTGTGGCCATGTGCAGAGGACTGACTGGGCTTCTGATGAGGACACAGGGAGTGGACACTCAGGGTGGGCTGTGGTCTGGGCCTGGATATGGGCTCCCGAGTTCCCACTGGTGACCTCTGAGGACACCCAGAGTCAGGTGGCTGTGCCCCGTGGAGCTGGGGGTGATAGGGCTGCAGAACAGCAGAGGGCTGGGAGGTGGGTGTGGGCGGCTCTGCTCCGGGGCCCCCAAAGTCCTACCCACTTGGCGCTGCCCCAGCTCCAGTACAGAGCTCAGTCTTGGGCACCAGGGCCAGGCACAGGGCCCTGGATGCGCCCCCACCTGACAAGGCCTTGGGAGCCCCCACCTGCCCACCCACCGGCTGCACTCACTCCACTGTGGAGAGGCCCTCATCCTCAGAGGGCGTCGCCTCGTCCTCCGATGGGTCACTCAGCAGGTCGCAGGGCAGCAGGGCCGAGCTGTCTGCCAGCTCCAGGACCGGCGCGATGCTGGGCCGCCGGCTGCCTGAGCCGTTCTCCGTGGGCAGTGTCAGCTTGCTGCCTGTGCCGCCCTGCGCGGGCCCGCACTCGGCACTCTGCAGGTCCATAGCCACAGTCCCTGGGGAGGGAAAGCCAGGCCAGCCCCTCCCCGCCTGCTGCTCACTTCCGACTCAGAGAGCTGGGTGCCCTGGAGCCTGCCCGCGCCCACTTACCCATGGAGGCGATGACGCTGTGCACAGGCAGCCGTCCCTGGTACAGCGCCGGGCCGGCCAGGCCACGCTGCCTCTGCCGCTCCTCCTGCTTGAAGATGAAGGCCGAGTTCTCTTCCTTGGTTATGTTGATGTAGAAGCAGGTGTCTGAGGCGGCCAGGATGTGGCGTGGGCCCGGATTCAGCAGGATGCTCTTGTTGTCCTCACGCTTCAGCCCAATGAGGCAGACACCATACCTAGGCGCGCAGAGCGGCCTCTGGGCACCTCTGCACCAGCCTGGCACTCGCCCATGCCTGTCGACCCAGCTGCCTGCCCCACACCCTGGGCTGTGCCTACTTCTTGTGGGCATGGAAGGCCGCATAGGTGAAGCTCTTGCCCTGGTACTCGCGGAAGAACTTGCTGTCGCCCATGCGGATGTGGTAGACCTCGTTGCCCGAGCAGCGCCCATACATGCGCTGCCACTGCTCCGGGGACTCCTGTCCTTCCCTGCCAGTGCAGCAGGAGGAGGGACTGTCACAGTGGGCCCTGCCCAGAAGCTGCTGCCCACTTGTCTGCCCGCCCCTGCACCTCTCCTCAGGAAGCCCCACACAGGCAGCAGCCACGCCTGGGGCCCCTGCCTTGTCTCCCCAAGATGGTGGGCAAGGCGCCATATTGGTTGGTGTGGGGCACTCACTGGCCGCGGGATGTGTGCACCAGCAGGGTGATGAGGGTGGAGGTGGCCGGGCAGACACAGTTCAGGGCCAGCATGGCATACTTGCACTCCTCCTCACATACCACGTGGTCTAGGACAGAGGGTCCGGGCCACCATGTGCCCTGTCCCCAGCCCAGTGTGCATGCCAGGTCCTGCCCAACCCCTCCCCCTGGACCCCAGCATGTCCAGCTTCTAGTGGCTGCCATGTTTCTTGGCTGGTCCCCAGCTGTTCCCAGAGCTCTAAGATTCCTGGCCCTGCCCACCCATCTCTCAGGTGCCCAGCTGAGGCCCTGCCATCCAGCTGCTCAGAACACTGCTGTGCCCACAGTCAGCCCGGGCCCCAGGTGCCATGTCCCCGGCTGTGGTGCAGATGTCTGCTGTCCCTGCAGTCCCTGGTGCCTGGGGGCTGCCTGCCCACCTGCCTGGGGCCTGAGCGCACCTGCGAACTTCACGTGGAACTTGTTCTCGGGCTTGAGGATCTGTACGTACAGTGGGCAGTTAGGGGCGAAGTCTTTCACAGCCCAGGCACGCAAGATGGTCTGGTGGTCCTGAGGGGGCAGTGGCCATGTCGGTGAGTGGCTATGCAGGCCACATGGGCCCTACCCCTGCCTCGGTGGCCTCACTCACCGCAGCTGTGCGGTCCACCTCGTTCCGGCTACTTAGGATGAAGCAGGCTTCCCCATTGTCCATCCTGTAGGCAGCAGCTGCTCAGAGTGGCCATGCGGGGAGTGGAGGTGGGGGCAGCCTGGCCCTCCAGTATCCCTTCCTCTCCAGGCACTTTATGGGCAGCTGGAAGCCCAGACACCCTTCACCCAGGGTGAAGCTTGGGCACTGAGCAGGGCACACCAGCTGGACAGCTGGGCAGCGGGGCAGCAGGGCAGCAGGGCTATGCGGAGTACTGCCTGTCCTCTAGCCGGATCCAGCCCCTCCGCATCCCCTCCAGTGCTCAGGGGCTGGGCTCAGGGTTTGCAGCTGGACACGGCACTGAGACCATGCTTCACCTTGTGCCGATCCCATGGGCCTGGCATGGCTGTCTTACTGGGGCATCACCCGGCTTTCAGGTCCTATCCCCCAAGTCCCTCTTGCCCCAAGGCACTAGTGACCACAGGAGGCTGTGAGCAGAGCCTGTCCTCCTTCTGCCTGGCTACACTGCGGTGACCAGCACTGTCCCCATGCCAGCCGGTCCCATGGCAGGCCACGTATGCTAGACACCACCTTTCCCAGCTGGGCACCTACTGCCCTGGCCTGTGGCCCAGAGCAGGGCATGGATAGTACTCAGGTGCTGTGGATGAGGCCAGGAGGAGAGAAACCCTGAGCCAGTATCCTGCCCCTGCCTGTTGCCCCACACAGACCCACGCCACACAGCAGGTAGGGGCTCGTCTGGAATAAAATTCAGTGCTGTGGGGGCTTTGGGGAGTACAGGAAGTGTGTGCACATTCTGGAAAGTTCTCAGAGCATGCCCTCACCCTCATCCCTGAGTCACTGCCACCTCTAACACAAGATCTGCCCCGCGGATCTGGCAGCACCCCCCTCCCCGCCCACCATCTATTCTGAGCTCCAAAGAACTCGGCACTGAAACTTCCGGACTCACACTGGGGTGGGGCCTCCTGGGCAGCCCTGTTGCACCCCACCCTGGCCTTGGGCTGTACTCACTTGGCCCGCATGAGGTCCTGGTCCTTGAGGGCAGAGCCCTGGAGGTAGATGACCCGCTGGGACCACAGGGGGATCTGCAGCACCCTGCGCACCTGCACGTCCATCTCAGTGGGGCACAAGATGACCACGTAGTAGTCCTGCCAACCGACCCGGCGGCAGCTCAGAGCCCTGCATCTCCCACCAGCCCACCCCTGTACTGGGCCCCACAGTCCCGGCCTCACCTGCAGCCGGGGGTGGGCGTAGAACTCGTTCAGGAAATCCATGAGGAGGTCGATCTTGAGGGAGCTGACGCACAGCACCACATGCTTCTCCGTCTGCGCCCGGTGGCGGCTATAGTTGCCCCCTGACTTCTGCCGCTCCATCCAGAGGAAGACGAGCTCCTCGAACTGTAGGGTGTGAGGGTGAGCAGGGCACCAGGGAGGGGCACCGGAGTGTGGGGATCAGGCACTGACCCAGACACCCCAAGCAGGTGCGGTTGGTCAGCCAGGAGCAGGGATGAGCATCCTGATCAGAAGCAGGAGCAGGACTGGGAGACAGCCCAGGACAGGGCCATGTGGGATCCCGCTGGGCAGAGCAGGTTGGTGTCTACCACTGGCATGCAGCCGCAGAAGCACAGCCAGTCCAGAACCCGCCTATGATGCCAATGCTGAGTGGACACCAGGCCTGGACCTGGTCACAGGGCACCCCCAAGACCTTGCTTTCCCTGTAGCCCTAGGCTCACCTGGGAGCAAAGCAGTGGAGCTAGGATTCTCAGCCTCTGGGAGGGTAGGTGGGAGGGAGAGATAGCTCCCTGGATAGCCAAGGTCAGGCCACTAACTATGGCCCCCCAAGGGGCACTGCACCCACCAGACCCAGTGCCTGCATCTGAGCGCAATAGGCACAGCCTCTTGCCCTCAGCACTGAGTCCACCCATGTGTCCAGCCCACCGCTGAGTGGACAGTGATGTGGCCCCAGGAGGAGGCACAGGTGACCATGGCCACCTCCATGCTGTGCCATTGGGTGCCTGAGCCCCTCTAGGTGCCTCCCCTGCGCCAGGGATGAGACAGGGCTCTGCTGCTAGCACCCTGGGCCCAGGCTCAGCGAGGGTTCAGTGAGTTAAAGAGTGGATCTGGCAGTGACCCCTAAGACTTCCCACTGCCTGGAACCTCAGATGTCGATGTGAAGCCATCAGGAATTAGGGCACCAGGTGCTGGGTGGCAGCAGGGACCCCCGACACTGAGGCCCACAAGCCCAGCCTGGAGCCAGAAGGAGGTCCTTGCTGGACGCCAGCTGCTGCCGTGTCCAGAAGGACACCTGTGAGAGGGTTAGTGTGGTCACCCTGACCGCAGGACAGCCGCGGGGTGACAAGCACCTGCCCTTCATGCCTGATGCAGCCCTGAGGCAGACAGGAAGTGGCCCACACTCTGAGCTCGGCCACTCACTCACTGACAAGTGCTAGCCTCTGCCAGCCCTGGGCAGGACAGCATATAGGCCCCTCCGTCAGTTTGGACACCTGGCTAGGCTGTGGGACACATGACTGACATTGCCCAGCTCTCCAGTGGCTTCTGACCCTGCAATTACCACCTCTGTTGGGAGCAGCCATGTCCCCGCAGTGCACAGGAGAGAAGGTGAGGCCACAGGCACCCAAAGACCCTCTGGATGTGGGCAGCGCTGCTGGGAAGCCCTCAGCCACAACTCTCGTGGCCACGGCCCTTTCTCTTGGCTTTCCCTGAAGAGGGCTCTGGGGCAAGGCTGCTGGCCCTGGTCTCCTAGGTGAGACTCAGGAAAGGGACACTGGGGCAGAGCGGAGTGTGGTCCCACCCTGGCCAGGGCATAGTTGGGGGCATGGAGAGCAGGGCCCACCGCTGTCGACGCAGGTTTCAAGCGGGAGCAAATCGGTCCTGGTTCATCTTAGGTTCTACACACGTAGGTACCCAAGGGCCCTGCACCCCTTATGCTCAGGTGGGCAGGGGGAGCAGTAAGAGCCCCAAGCAGGCGGTCAGCCAGGAACAACTTGGCCTGAGTGGCTTTGCCGAAGAGCATTGTGGGTGGAGAGAGGCCAGGCAGAGCCAAGGACACCGCAGCCCACCTCTCCCCAACCCCTGCAACCCCGGCTCCTGACTCAGGCCCTCAGTGTTGTGGAGGCCTAGGCCTGTGTTTTTAATCCCTGGGCCTTGGCTGTTGGTGTTGGTGGCCCCAGGAGGCCCTCAGACATCAGGGTCTACCAGAACAGGGCAGAGATGTAAGGAAGCAAAGGAGACCTCCCTCCTTGGGGACAGTGATGTCACTACACAAAGCCCTATCCAGCAGCACCTGCCACATACACTCCTGCACCAGCCACCCTGGGGACAGAGCTGGCGCCACCAATGCCATTGGTGCCCCGTACCACAGGGACACACAGAGCTTCTCTTCCACCTGGTCCTCGGGGTCCCCACAAAACCCCAGTGCGGGATGGGTGGGACCGCCACCAGCAAGTGAGGAGCCAGGTCAGGTAGGACGGGAGTGGCACAGCCGTCCCTCACGCCCATACCCTTTCAGGAGGAAATGGGACACAGCAGCTAAGACTTTAGACCAGACAGGAAGCAGAACCTCAAAGGGAAAGGTGGGGACACTGGGCTGCAGTAGGCGCCAACGCATGTGTAAAAGTGGGAGCTCACATGCAAAAAGGGGTTCAGGGCAGTTCCCTGTAGACAGCACACAGGATGACCAGGGGGCGTGGATGCAAGGGCCAGTGCGGGTAAAAGCCCTCGTGGGTACTGGGATGACACTGGCAGCAGGGGACAGAGCTGCTAATACTGCAGCTACCTCAGATGAGGAATGGGGGGCCCCGGCTAGCGCTGTATCAGACCTCAGAGGCCAAGGGCCCTGCTGCCCTGGCATCCTGGGCAGGAGACCCCATGGCACAGCCCCAATGGGCTCCAGATGAGGGCATGTGGAGTAGCAGTAGGAGTTGTTCCTGGAAGCTGAAGGTCAGCTGCTGCTTTCCTGGTGCTCCAGGTCCCCTGTCAGCTGCTGCCCCCGCCTACCCTGTGCCTTTGACCTTCTCCTAGAGCGGTTGCCCGGCACTGAAGGACTGTGATCTGGAGGCAGGGCCTGGGCTGCTGGCCCCCGCCCTCTCCACCCCCAGCATCAGCAGCCTCATGGAGACCCAGGACAGCCCAGCTGGGAGTGGCCCCTGTCTCCACAGCCAGCCCCCTGGGGTGGGACTCACCTGCAGCGGAAGCACCACAAGGGCCACGCAGATCATGATGACCACCAGCAGCTGTGACGGCCAGATCTTGGGTGTGACGTCCCCGTAGCCCACGGTGGAGAAGGTGACGATGCAGAAGTAGAAAGAGGTGAGCAGGTCCAGGTTCTCGCCGGCCCGCTCCAGGTGCTGGATACCACAGGTCCTGGGGACAGTGGTGACCGTGAGGAGTGGACGCCCTCTGCCCATGTGCAGCCCTGATGCTGGGTCTGAATTCAGCCTGAGGACTTCAGCCCCAAGTGGTGCCTAGCCCCTATCCTGGCCAGCCTGGAAGCAGGGTCCCTCCCTTGGCCACAGAACCGCCGCGATGTCCGGATGTGGCTTCCACTGTGCCTCTGCCCTTCACCAATCTTCACACCCCCGGCCCATCCCTGTCCTCCGGTCCCCTGTGCCCGCTGGGCAGGCTGGGGCCCCAGGCTCACCCTGTGAAGACCAGGCAGAGCAGGGTGCAAAAGAGGATGAGGACCTGGTTGAACATGGCCGACTGCGTCCGCAGGATGGCACGGTGGAAGTCATTCTGCAGGCGACAATGTTGGGGGTGGTGTGGGGACCCCGCCCCAGGCACACAGCAGGGAGGGGGCACTGGGGAGCAGGCAGCCGGGCCCCATCTCCCCCCAGTGAGGACACGGGGCAGCCTGACCTCAGCGTCCCCCCAGGACCTCTGTCCGGCCCGTGCCCGGCCAGCAGCTGTGGCCCCAGCCTCAAACTTCACTGTTCAGCCGGGCCTCGGAGCTGGGCCAGGCAGGAGAAGCTGAGGTCAGCTCAGGCTCTCTTGGTTCTGGGGGAGTGCTGGGGCCCCAGGACCTGGATCCTGGTCTGTCTCCTGCCCCCCATTCCTGGGTAGGAGCTGGAGGCCGGGCTGCATCCTGCGTGGGGACAGCGGCTTACGATCATGTTCTCCAGCGCGTGCTTGGCCAGCCAGCAGTTAAGGAACACAGGGATGAACAGGTTCCGCAGCGGCGACCAGAAGACCTGCGGGCCAGACAGGTGAGGCAGGCAAGCGCCAGGGCAGGCAGGCAGGCAGGCGGCAGCTCACTCACCGTGATGATGAAGGGCAGTGTGTTGATCATCTCCAGGACAAAGGACACGCGGAAGATCTGCTCCCAGATGTTGCCCTGGGGCCACAGGGGTTCAGAGCCATGGGGAGGACATGGGATGAGTGGAGGCTCAGGCAGAGGGTTGAAGCCAGGACAGCGGGCGCTGGCACAGGCAGGGTGGGTGGGCGGCACTCACCTTGTAGCTCAGGTAGATGAGCAGCATGGTCTCCAAGAAGCTGATGGTGGCCACGACGACCTGCGGAGGAGGGGGAGGCTCACAGCAGTCCGGGGGCCATTGCCTGGCCCACACGAAGAAGGACGCTGGCCCCACTGGGGACAGTCTGCCACAGCTGCTGCCTAAAGCCCCGGAGTGGAGGCACCTTGATGCTGTTCCTGTCCTGCGGCACCAGGATGGGGGAACCCCATCCTGCCTCTCTGGAGGTGGAACACTGGGAGGGAGACCCCTCCACACAGGCCCCCCGTGAGCTCCATGGCTGGTCTGGAGTGGGCAGTGCAGTACCCCTCTTCCCTACAGGAGGCGTGGCATTGCCCACCAAGACAGGAGCAGTGGCAGAGCCGGGAAAGCGCCCTCAGGAGTCGGCAGGGTGGGGAGGAAGGGTAGGCAGAGGGGCCGAACTCTGGCCTGTGGTGGGCACTCACCTGGATCACCCACAGTGTCATCTTCCTCTCCACCCAGAGGATGGGGGCCCTGGGGAGCGATGGAAGTGAGCCTTGGGCAGGAGCCGGTCAGGCGCTGAACAGCAGCACAGCTGGACCAGAGGACGTCCCAGGTGGACCCCACACTGATCCTGTGCCCTGGCCTCAGCTGAGCATGTCCACAGCAGCTCAGGCTCCCTGGAGAGGGACCCCCCCCTGTGCACCCCCATCCCGGCCCTGCGTGAGGACCTGGCATGTGTGGAGCGAGCTCACCAGTTGATCTCAGCGGATGAGGCGTTGAAGGTGTAGTTATGCTTGGTACAGCCCCAGCTGTGGAGAGAGACAGTGATAGCCCAACCACAGCCAGGCTGGCACTGACCCTGAGGGGCCTTCCCAGGGGCGGGGGACACCCAGGTGTCCACTCTGCACCTCCATAGGGGCTGTGTGCTGTGCTGTAGCAGAAACAGGGTGAGGTCCACAGGACTCTGCTGATGGGAACGCGTCCCTCATCTGGGGACTCTGTCTAGGACATGACAAGCTCTCAGGAGGCCCCGACCAGCTGGAGATGGAGCCAGGGACACCCAGGCCTCCGGAGCCTGCAGCTGCCTGACAAGGCTGGATACAGCCCCAAGAGCTGCCGTGGAGGCAGAGAGCCAGGCCACGCTGCAAGATGGGCATCTCCAAGCCTTCTGGAACCAGGTGACAGGAGGTGGCAGGGCACAGCACACAGGCTTGCTCTGCTCAAGAACTGAACTAGCACCAGGTCACTGGCCAGAGGGTCCTACTGCTCACAGCACCCGCACTGTGGGTAGTTTTGCCCTCCATAGACCTGTTTGCCCCAAGACTCAGTGGGGCTGTCACCAGCTCAGTGCCCACGGAAGTGACTGGGTGTCTGTCCTCCCATCCCTCTAGTCATCTGTGCATCTCCCCGCCCCCATTCTCTCACCCAGCCTCCCTCAGGTTATCTCTCATCACCATCCATTCATCCAGCCTCACCATGCCCTGGCCCACCCATTCCTCCCACCCTCAGTTATCTGACAGCTACTTCTCACCTCTCCATCACCCGCCCACCTACCCAGCCCCCCCCCCAGCCCTCTGCCGCCCATTGCCCCCTCCGTCTTCCGTCCTCAGTCTTGGTCCTCCCCCTGCCTTCCCACCCAGTGCCCATGCGGCAGGCCCTGTGCTAGAGATGGGTCACTGAGCCCTTCTCCCAGGCTGAACCGAGCATGGGAACCCCACGTGGACCCAGGAAAGGGGGCTGAGGAGTAGTCAGGGCCTCATGGCTCCCTCTCAGTCTACACGCAGGTCTCTTCCCTCCTTCCTTTCCCTGGTGGTGGGGCCTGGCCTGGGAGTACGGGGCACCCTGAAAGTGGGGAGCGGATGAGAAGGAGCCAGGCAGAAGATTGAGATCAAGGCCCAACTGAGTGTTGGCAGTGTCCCCAGATGGCCTGGCAACCACTCTTAAACGTCAATAGTTGTCAAGGTCACGAGGTTCGAGGCCCCCACAGCACGAAGGTTGGGGCCTGCACAGGGGAGTGGGGAATGCAGCGAGCAGAAGAGGAAACCAAAAGCAAAGGGCAGGTTGAGACTCAAGGCTGGAAGGCAGGTGGCCTGGGGCAGGAGCAGCCCTGCCACTGCTACCGGAGACCAAGAGACAGGAAGGCCCAGCGCCAGGGCCAGGAGGCCGTGTGCAGGCGCATGGTCCCTGGCAACCACAGCACCTGGACCAACCCAGAGAGGCACAGAGCAGAGCCTGGCACACTGGGTATAGAGCCCCAGCAGCTTCCGGGTGGACAAGGTCTCCCCCAAGGACCAGACCTTAGAGAAGACTGGATGCCTCCTCTCCCTCCCTGGATCCTGGGGGTGCTGGGCTGCAGGTGCTGCTTCCCCGACATGGAAGATGAATGTGTGGCCCAGGGCGTGGACACCATGGGTCCCCAGGGGTCAGACAGGACCCTCAGAGATGGGGAGAGCCTAAGGGCCTGCATGCTGCCATGTGGGCTCCTAGGGACCCCCACAATCCCCAGGCTGGGGTGCTGTGAGGAACAAATGGGCCCGGACCCTCTGCCTTCCAATCTAGGCTCCATGCAACACTGGGCCCTGCTCTGGCTCTGCTGGGGGCTGGGGGTTGGGCGTGTGCCCCCCACAGACCTGTGCCCCCCAGGCAGGCTCAGCCCCAAGACCCTGACCTGCTGGGCCCAGTCACCCACCATCCGATCCCCTGGGCCGGGTTGTCCAGCAGGACACGGACAATGTAGAGCAGGCAAGTGAGCAGCTTGAGTGAGAAGTTGAACAGCCGGATCCGCAGGCCTGTGGGCAGGGGCAGCATCACTGGGCTCTGTCACCTGGGGTTTTGGGCCGCTGGATCCCCAAGCCCTGCAGGATCTCTCTCCAGAGTGCCATGGCCAGACCCACACGCACCCTGGGACTGCCCAGAAAGTGCACCATGAGGCCTAGGGTGCAGGGCCTCGAGGCAGCTCAGCTGTGTGGGGGCCATCTGGGGCGTAGAGGGATGCACACGATCTAGGGCTGGGAGGGGAACGCAGGGCAGAGTCCTGGGGTCCAGGTCCCAGGTCCCAGCCCACCTCCCTCTGCTGTCAGGAAGTGGGAGGGCCCTGTCCCCAGCATCCACCTCTAAGCAGCACAGCCCTGCGCCGCACCCGCCCACCGGGGCGCCACTCACTGGATCTCTGGTTTTTGATGAAGAACAGCTTCAGCCGCTCCTTGCAGGTGTTCTCGTTTACATAGAACTCCACCTCGACCCTGGGGGCAGGACAGGGTCAGGTCCAGCCAGGCGTGGCAGGTGCCCAGAGCCCGGCAGTGGGCAGAGGGTTGTCCCGGAGCCTCACACTTGGAGGAGCCAGACACCTGGGGCCAGGCTGTCCTGCTCCCTCCCCATACAGGGGGCTAGTGTTTGCAGGACAGGGTCGGGGTGGCCCTCAGCCAGGTCTCCTTCTTCAGCACAGCACGGGTCATATGGGGAGGAGGACAGAGCACTACAGGCTGTCTCACAGCCAGGAGTGTCCAGGGCCATGTGGAGAGGGCCACCAGCTGTCCACAGCAGGCTCCACCCAGCAGTGGGTGGGGGGTCCACCGTCCCTGCTGCAGTGAAGGGGGGGGCCTGCTGTGATATCTGAAAAGTCTGAAAGTCACTGTCCCCAGCCAGTGCTCCGCTGGAGCTGAGGAGGCCTCAGCCACATGGGCTGTGCCACCACTGGGCTCTAAAATGTGGGGACAGGGCAGCTAGGTCTGGGGCAGTGTGGGCCCCTGGCCCTCTGGACTCCTGGCACGGCAGCAGGTGGGCCTCCCTCAAACCAGCAGGGGTATCCAGGGCTGCTGACAGAGCCCTGGTGCCCAGAATGCCCACTGCACCCACACACCTCCTTTTCATGCTGGACCTAGAACCCCAGCCATGCATGGGGGACCCTGGCACTTTGTCAAACGCCTTTCTCACTGAGGTGTCAGGCTGGGCTGAGGGGACAGGCTGGGGGTCTTGGTGGTCTGGTCCCAGGTGGGGGCAGTGTGGGGCAGTGACTCCCCTTGGGCCTGGGCCGGGACCTCCTCAGCACCCACTCCTTGCTGCCAGGTCCCCAGAGGCCACCGTACCCTCAAAGTAGCTGCGGAGCTTCTGGGCATCTCTTCTGCTCCTCCCAAAGCAAGGCCTTGTGGGGCCTCTGCCCTACTCACACCATCTCTCCACATGGCCTCCACAGGGCACCCTTGCCGGTGGCTAAGTCCCTCTCTTTCTGGGCCTCATGGAGCCCGGTCAGTCCTCCACTTTGCGTCCTCCAATGCTACCACCTCAACCCTGATTGTGGGCACACAGGGCTGGGCACACAGGCCAGCTGGAGCCCCCTCACCTGGGTGAGCCCGGCTTCTGCCCTGGCCTCTCCTGGCTTTACCCAAGTTGTGGCCTGAGCCAGTGTCTAATCCCTGTGTGGGCAGGCAGGGGAGAATTCATGGCCCTGGGAGGTGACAGGGTTGGCTAAAGTCACAGGCCATCGTGGTCCAGCCCTGGTGGCTTTGCAGAAAGACAACATAGACCTCAGTGTGTGTCTCTTGCCATGGGAAGCCTGGGCCACCTGTGGCCTCCACCACCACAATGACCACAGATGAGCCCTAGACCTGGGGCCTCTAGAACCCAGAGCCTAAAATTTCCCAACTTGTGCACTGTTGGTAACAGAGACTCGGCTGGAGCGTCCCCCTGGGACAGTGCACCACTCCTGCCCCTGCAGCCCATTCCTGTCTGGCACATGCTAGGGACCCAAGCTTTGGGTCCTCCACCTTGAGGCCTTTGCAGGCATCCACCTTGTATGGGATGGAGCCAAGCCCTGCCCTTGCAGCCTTACTGCCAGCCTCCCTGGACAGCTGGACACTACCTATGGGGCAGCTCTGCCCCCTCAGCTCACGCTGAGCCCTGACCTCCAGGCTCCAGCCCTGAGGTGCCCTCAAAGTCTCCTCTGCCAGGTGGGTGATGTCTCCACCTTGACCCCTTCACTGGACATGGGTCCTCCAAGCTCCGGGCACCGCACTCCATGCCCACACCCACCTCTGAGCCCCTCGGTTCTGCCAGCTCCTAGGCACCTGCTCCTCCAAGCTCAGAAGACGCTGTGACCTCCAGAGACCAGGGCCAGTGTCCTGATGAACTGCTGTCTCCTCAGAGCCAGGAAATGGAGACAGTGCCATGACAGCTGCACCCACCCCCACCCCCGCAGGCCCTGAGGGAGTCAGCATGGATGCCACCAGCCCAGTCCCCAGGGTACGGGGACAGCACCCATCTCAGGGGATGGGGATGCCCTGCTGGGCAAAGCTTTGGGCCAGCAGCTTAGCCACTGCAAGGTCTGGGCCCTGTGATGCCAGGCAAATTAACGATGTAGCCTCTGCCTTTCATTTTTTATGAGCTGTGGCCACCACTTCTCCTGTACCACCATACATGGCAGATTAAAGCCACCCATCCTCTGGAGCGAGCCAGGTACAGCTGGGCTGGCCGCCAGGACAGAGGCCAAGGACGGAGCCCAGTGGTCAGCTCTGGACACCCTTCCCCAGCCACCCAGCCCCTCTCGTACCCCGGGCTCATGGGTACCATCGGCCCTCCTGGGACTGCAGAGCAGAGCTGCCTGGCAGCCAGCCTTGAGGGCGGTGCCCACCGGGGAGCCTGGCCCGGGCCCTGCCCCTCACCTGCCCCACCCCAGCTTGCTTTCTGGGAAGGATGATGACAGGATCGCCCCCACACTGCTGCAGGGTGCTGCCGGGAGGAGCTCAGTCAACCGTGAGGTGCGAATGAGTTGTGTGTGGGCTTGGGGCAGACATGTGACAGGTGGCAGGTGCAGGGGGAGCGGCGTGGGCCAGGGCTGCTTAGGCCACATGGCCACACAGGTTAGCACCAGGCCCTGGCCGGACTTGTGAGGAGGGGGTGGGTAGCAGGGGGGCAGTAGATTCTGCTGGGCAGCCTGGGCCCCGAGCACACAGACCACACTCCTGCCCAGCCTGCGTGCTCACCTGCCACCTGCTTGCCCTCCCCGCCACTGCAGACCTGTGTGCTTGGGTGATGGGGCAGGCAGAGGCTCTGGGCTGCACCCCAGTCTGCATCACTTCCCCCAGGTCACCTGCTGTCCCCAGTGAGCCTGCTGCTAGGAACACCAGGCCCCAGCCCCTGGGAGCCCGATAGCAGGTGCAGGCATTAGCTAGGAATGTGGGAGGAACCGTCCCAGGTAGCTTGTGGGGCTGGGGGTGACGGTGACGTCTCAGATGGCCCTGGCCTGGTTCTCCCCACAGGGCAGCCTGCCTGGGACCAACTGACTCCTGTGCTGGCCTCAGAGACACCTGTTCCAGCCAGGGGCAGCCACAATGCTCCACAGTCCCCTGCAGGCCCAAGGCCCAGCCCCTAGGGTGGGGAGAACCTTGTGGGTGGTGGGCACCACTACCCGCTACCCTGCAGTGGTGCCAGGCAGGACACCCAGGCTGCAGCCTGGCTATAGTCCATGGCCCAAGGTGTGATGTGACAGGGCTGGCCCTCACAGAGGAGGCACCTCACACACTAATGCTGCTTACCACTGCCACCACCAAGTTAGCCAAGGACACGCACAGCCAGTGGCCCCTCTAAGGGCCACAACACCATGGCCAGGAGGGGTCTGCACTGGAAGTACCAGCTTCCCCACCTCAGAGCCCCCACCCCCTCGAGTCCTAAACTTTGGTGGGACCCCAGCTTTAGGGTTCACCCCACACCAGCAGCAGATGGTGCTGAGAGACCCAGCCCAGGAGTCTTCTGCTCGTCAGTCCTGTGCCATCCTCCAGCTGCCCCTGGTGGCAGGGCCACACTGTGGGGTCTAGGGTACCCAGCTCTCAGCTCCCTGGCTCCTCCCCGAGGGAGCACTCACTGCCCCCTGTATCCCCATGCCAGGTGGTGCTAGTCAGCCCTGCTGCACCCCTTCCTGGCCAGAGGCGACTCTCCCATGGGACTGGTCCGCCAGGGCTTGAGGACACGTCTGCCCCAGATGATCCCTCCCCTCAAAGCACTTACTGGGAGAGGGAGGAGTCCAGGCTGAAATCTTCCACCTGCAGCCTGGGACACAGGGCAGATGGTCAGTGAAGAAGGCGGCAGGTGGGGCGGCCTCTGGGCCGGGTTGGAGATCCAGGCCAGGTTCGACTGCAGAGCCCCCAGTTGCAGTGGGAGAAGCCCAGCATGCAGGTGGACAGAAGCCAGGCCTGACCCACAGCCTCAGGAAGCCGCAGGCCACTCCACTATGACTGTTACATGCAGCCTCCAGCAGGAGGCTGGCCCACCCCCACACACGGGGCCATGGTCCTCCAATGCTCAGTACCAAGCGTTCCCACACAGGATCATGCAGCCATCTGCCAGGCAGCCCCTGCCCTCCAGGGACCAGGGACACTTGGCTGGGAGCCAAAGCTGGTTGGGGGATTTAGGGGCACCCCTCCACCAGGCCAGACTGGGCATGGCCCAGGGACTCCTGGACACTGAGGGCTGAGGCGGGCTTGGGGAGGGGCTGGGCAGGGGTAGAGGTCTCAGCCTTGGGGCCCAGGCTGTCCTGGCCCAGCTCCTCAGGAGGTCCCCAGAGCAGCTTCTCTGCACCAGAGGAAACAGTCAGATGTGCCATGTGGGCAGGAAGGAGGGCGGCACCTGCCCATGCACCCCTGCCCGTCAGCCCTGCTCTCCATGTGGATGAGGCCTGGCCAGCTGAGGTTCTGGCAGGGTGGCCGGGTCAGTGACCTGAGCTCTGGGCCACAGTGCTTCCAGCACATTCTGGGAGTCTGCTGGCCAGCTCCTGCACTTTGGCCCCCTCACCGCCCTGATCTCAGCTAGGGTGAGGGCTGCAGTCGGGCCTGCGGGACTTGTCACAGTGGGGCCAGGGATTTCCACAACCTGGCCTGGGGCCCAGAGCCCAAGGAGGCTGCTGCCCTAGCTCTGCTCCCTGGAACAGCCAAGTCCCATCCACATAATGCCTCCTCAGGCTCTTCTCAGAGCCCTCCTAGATGGCACCTTGGGCACAAGCAGGCAGGTACACACATACAACCCCGCCCATCCCCAAGACAGCCTGGCCTGGGTGACTCCTGCCACCCTGTGCTCTGTCCAGGCTCAGGTCCTCAAGCCAAAGATCAACCCCTCTCTCTGCAGAGTCACCTGGCCTGGGCTCACACCTGGGGGACAGGTATTACCTAGGAGTGGCCCCAGACCAGCAGGCTCAGCACATATGACCTGGGTACCACTCAGCACCTCTGCAACTGACTACAGCCCTAATGGGTGT